CATATAGACTGCAAGTCTGCTTTCTATTCTCTTGCATTCAAACTGTTCGCATGTGAACTTAACTGGGTCCCAAGCATCTCCAGCAGCATTGAAATAATAGTTTACTTCAGTGTGAGGTTTGAGAAACCAAAGTCTAAGTCAACTTTGTCTTTGCAAAAGTCACAGAACTTGGCTCCACCAGTTCCAGCTACAGTAATGCTGAATGGGTCTTGTGTTGGTGCAATGACTAAGGTATTTTTGCTTGGAGTAAGTTCGATAGAAATTTTTCCTGCCCCGTTTGGCAAGTATCTTAAAAACCTGAAGATGAGGAAAGATGACAAAGGAACTCTAAGTTTCAGTTTTACTTTGGTTACTGCTGCTGCAGTTTGTCCAGAAAGGTTAACATAAACTCCTGGAACGTTAGGGTCAAGTCTTCTTATTTTCTCAATATTTGCATACTGGTCTGTTTGTTCTCTAGCTTGTGGTTGTACTGAGTTTCTCAAAGCGAACCATTCATAGTTTGCCCATGTTACTGTTTGAACTAAGTCAGAGTTAGAATATATCTTATATCCCATGAAAACTTCTGGAGCATATTGGTATCCGACATAGAAAATTCCATTGCAACCTTTCTTGTCAGACAACTTGGCAGAAGGTTTTATTTCAATGTCTTGTTCCACGTATAAGAATGAGTTGTCAATAGAAATAATATGAAACCTGTCGCAAGCAATATCTACTGTTGTTGAAGAACCTTCTCCAAACTCACCTACGTTTCCATAAGAAACAGCAGTTGTATATTCGTAAGTTCCAGGAACTATTTCTGACCTTCTAATGGCATTGTCGCATTCGTTATACCATTCGGAAACATTTCCGTTCATGGCATCCAAAACTGTTGGCGTTATATTCTGAGCGGCGTACATTTCATATGGGTAAAAATATAGAATAGTTGGATTTATATATCATAATAGAACCCACTCGGACCAAGCTTTACTTTCTTCCTGACTGAGTTTTTAACTCTTCTTTTTCCTTCATTGCCACTACTTTCACTAGATGAAGTTACTTCTTCACTACTTTCACTTTGTTCTACTCTTCTCTCTTCTTTGGTGTCGCTTTTGGTAACTTGCCCTCTGCTTCAAGTTGTTGCATCTTTGCCTCATGTTCACCTAGTATGTTGTAAATTTCCCATGTCCTTTTTGCCTTTGGGCCTTGGTCGCCCACCTCAGGTAACCTATATCCTAGAAAGATTTTGTCATAGTTTGTATTTGAGTCTTCGCTTATTGTTTGCATGACTCTTTCCTGAGTTTCCGGTTCAAGCTCTTCAAACAGAGCTTGTCCATATGGAATAAGCTCGTTTCCAAATATATGTTTTTGTAGCCATTCTGGTTTCTTTCCATGTAACCAATAATATCTTTTGTGAATGGGAAAGCTTTTACCCAACGTTTCAGTCTTGCGTCATTTATTTCTGTAGTTGGTTTTATTTTGTCAAGGAACGTGTTTTTCAATACTAACATTTCATTTGTACTGTCCATTTGAGTTTTCTTAAATATTCATCCCTTCTCAGTTCATTGTCTGCAAAGTAAGTTTTTATGACATTTTGCAAACTTTCGTTTGCAAGGTCATGTACAATAGGTTCTCTTCCTTCTCTCTCCCTAACTTTCTTTCTAAACTCTTCACCAAATATACCATCTCTATGGTTCTGTGTAGTTCTTTGAGATAAATGTTCTAGAACGTCAGGTGTTATATTTCCATCAGCCATGTTCATTTCATACTGGTCCAAATATCTGCATCTTTCATATCTTTCAATGGCATTAAAGCCCCGCTGAAAATACCAGCTATATCTGGTTCACCATTCACTTCCATTGCGTCTACAACTTCTTGGAATTGAGGTTGTAAGTTTATGAACCACCTATCCGGATTAGCTTTATGACCCCATCTCATTGTAGTTCCATAGTCTGCAGAAACAAAAGTAGGTTTGTTTCCATATTGGTTAGGTTCTGAATGAACTTTAAACAATGTTTCATTTCTATATGTTTTGTTGAAATTTAACCTTTTATTTTCACCGAGTTCAGCCAAAGATTGAACGTTATATGGTCGTAAGTAAAAAGGATTATTGTATTTGCGTACATTTTCTTTCAGTACTTCCATTCTATGCTGAATATTTTCATCTGATGTTGGAGTCTTTTGTATGTCGGCGAACATTTTTCGATATTCTTCTACTATGTCAGCCGAATTTTTCTTAGACTCTTGGAAAGATTCCATATTCACCTCATACTCTTGTTGAGGGTCAAGATTTTTCGGCTGTTCCAAATCTTCATCTAGTTCTGTGAAGTTAGTTTCCAAAGGAGGGATTTGTTCGTTTCCTTCAGGCTCTTCTAGCTGTTGTTGCTGAACTATTTCTTCCATGTCTGGTTGTATCTGAACTTCTTCCTGTGGAGTTTCTTGTACCTCATCTGCTGGCATTTTCATATTCCGAGACCGTTTTTAACAAGTTCCCTATCTAAGTCATCCGGACTCATAAACCTTTCTTCTTTCGTTCCGTCTCTATTTTTTACGCGTTTCATGAAGAGAGTTGAATTATCATTTAGCTCTGACACCAAATATCTCGGAGTAAATTCATTCATGTCATTTGGATGATATGCTATTAAATCATATCCCTTAGCGAGCTTGTATTTTCCGGGTTTGAGATTATATCCCATTTGATGCTGAACCATAAAGCTAAATAGGTTCGGGTCAGTATTTCCTTCCTTGAACTTTCTAATAGCTTCTTTATATCTGTCACTAAAGTCAAGAGTATCTGGGTAACCATAATCTTCCTTAAGCATTTTTAAGAATTCTTGGTTTCCTTTTTCTCTACTTCTTTTATGTCCTTGCTCTGTTTGTGGTTGTTGTGCTGGTTGTGGAGGTGGTTGTTGTGCAGGGTTTTGAACTGTTGGTTGCTGTGTTGGTTGTTGTTGTGGTGCTGGATTTTGAACTGTTGGTTGCTGTGCAGGGTTTTGAACTGTTGGTTGCTGTGCTGGATTTTGAACTGTTGGTTGTTGTGTTGGTTGTTGTGTTGGTTTTGGTGCATGCCTGTGTCTGTGTCCATGTGACGATGTAAATGTTTTAGGTAGTCCTGGTGCAGGTGCTTCTCTTGGAGGTTTGGTGGTATATAAGTTCCACCAGCTGGCACATATGTTCCATCTGCAGCATAATGTCCTACCTGACTTTTCGTTCTTAAGAAAGTATTTACTAGGTCTGTTTTGGTCTGTTGTAACTCTTTTTCTTGACTTTCCACAACAGCTGCTCTAACGGCGTCATAGGCACTTTGAACTGCCTGTCTCGTTGCTGCATCTGTTATTTTCGTCATATTTTGTGCTACTTCTCTTAACTCTTTGTCAAAACCTTCAGACTTCAGTTTCTTTCCAGATGAGAAGTCGTTCACTAGTTTCACCTTACTATGAAAGCTTCGAAGGCGTTCTTAAAGTCAGCATTCATTAAAGTTCATTTGAACTGTCTTCATCCGCTTGTATTTTTGTCCTTATTGACCCTATAAGTTGGGCTGCTTTAGCGTTGGCTTGGGCATCTAACCAGTCATTATTAGCTTTTATATATTCTGCGCTTTTCATTGCCTTTTGCATGGCTGCGTCGTTATTTTTACTTTCTTGTGCTAAGTTTTCATACTGTACGGTTTGGTTTTGCAACTGTAAAAGTTTTTCTGCCTTTACATTTGCTTCAACTTCTTTTTTATACTCATCGCTATCCATATATGTCTTCAGGGCTTTTTGTTTTATTTCTTCATCTTTCAGTACTTTATATTGAGTAGTATGGTTTTTCAAATTTATAACATCTTGTTCCATTTTGCTACTTCTGCTGCTTTTTCTGACACTTTTTGCATATTCCTCTGTACTTAGTTCTTTCAGTTGTTCTTTCTTCTTCTTTTCTCTACGTTTAACTCATTGAGTTTCTTTGTGTGTCTGTCATATTCTAGTTTCTTTTGTTTTCACTTATTTGTTTCTGTATGTCTATGTTTGACTTTTTGACATCTGTTATTTGATTTTTGAGTGAACTCAAATTCATTTGACTTTGAGGGTTATAAGCTGTTCCGTCTGCAGCTCCACCATAGCTGCCATTTTCGCTAAAAGTGCCGCTCTTAAACCTCCACTCTGTGCACCAATAACTCGGTTTAAAAGCATAGGGTTGCTTGACATTTGTTGCAACATAGTGGGGTCATTCATCATTTGTTGTTGCAACTGTTGTTGTGGTGTCAGTTTTACTATTGGATGTTTCAATGCTCCCTTCCTCTTACGTATATTCTTACGTAGCTTACGTGGCATTTTAAGTGAAGTAAAAAACGGTTTTTGACAGATGTTTATATGACACTTTTTGTTCAGCACAAAAAACTACTCGGTCAAAGTGTTGTCAGTTTTGTAAAATAACCGTCCTATCTCATTCTATAAGGGGGAAAGGCTTCTCAAATTATACTTCCTTGGAACGCCCGTAACTTTTCCTGTAGCGACGATAGACCCTTACTTGTCCGGACAAAGTTATACTATTTTGAGTGCTCTACAAAAAAGTCAACGGCTGGTCGGCTGGGGTTCGGTCCTCCTCTTGGGTCTTGGGAAAAATTTCTTATGGGCTAGAGGGCGCAACGCGCCTGGAAGCCCTCCGAATATAAACTTCATTTATACTAAACATCTTCAGGGCCAGAGGGCGCAACGCGCCTGGAAGCCCTCCGAATATAAACTTCATTTATACTAAACATCTTCAGGGCCAGAGGGCGCAACGCGCCTGGAAGCCCTCCGAATATAAACTTCATTTATACTAAACATCTTCAGGGCCAGAGGGCCCGAAGTGCCTGGAAGCCCTCTGAATATAAACTTCATTTATACTAAACATCTTCAGGGCCAGAGGGCACGAAGTTCCTGGAAGCCCCACTACCTTTTTTTTAAATATTTTAAAATAGGCCAAAAATATCGACCTCAAAAATTCAATGTGGCCACTCAAAGTTAAAATACCCATTCAAAATCACTGACAGTATTCAATTGATACTTGTCAACATTCTATAGTTAAGACAATACACTTATTAATCCATGATGTATATATTTATCACTGGCATTCCTAGTTTTCCTTACATTCAGATTCCGAAATTACTTGAAATCGGCCTAATGTTTTCAATATACATTTTGTGCAACCCAGTATATGCGAAACCGCTTTTCAATTTGTCTGCAAGCAATTTCACATATCGTAAGTGAGTTGATTTCAAAATTTGTCATGGATGTTCGCCATGAAAGATTGGCTTCTTACTTTAAGGCAACAATTCCAATAACAGATAAACACATAAATTATGCCAGAGCCCGCGGATATACCCTCACAACCCTCGATGACGGCACCTACAAATTATTCGGAAATGATGAAGAAGAAAGAGAAGCATTCATCAAAATTCTTTGTGATCGCGATACAAAATTAGATGAGTTTCAATCAGATTTCGAGGAAGAAGAATCCGAAATTGAAGAAGAAAGTGATGATGATGCTATTCTCGATAGACTTGGAAGATTATCTTATGCTGCCAAGCCTGAAACACTTACTAGAGAGCAAAGAATCGAATTTAAGATTGCTCACGAAAAAGAATTACTTCAGAAAAGACTTGAAAATCAGAAAACATTTTCAAAGGCAGCCAATAACACCGAGGACCAACCACAGAATAACAGACCACGTATTAACTACAGAAAGAAGCGCGAAGAAGAGGAAAGAAAGAGGAAAGAGGAAGCAGAGAAGAAGAAAAAGTTTGTTCCAGTGGATGTTCCTGTTTCATTTTGGGAAGGACTCGAAGTCGAGGTAGACACCGAAAAGAAGGCAAAACATCCAGCTCCTAAGACAGAAAATAATAATCAACAAAATTCTCCGCAAAATAATAAGCAAAATCAATCATCCAACGAAAACAAATCACAGAAAAATCCAAAAACATTCAATCCATCGTATCATAACAATAAAAAGCCAAATATGGAAAAATTCGAAATTCCTTCTACAGTTATTACAGCTCTACCTGATGAAGACCCCGAGTTTTACCGCGAAGAGAGACACCAGAAATTCGAAAACCGAAATCAAACTGCATTTTCAACTCTTCACTACATTTTGAACGAAAATGTTCCGAAACGCGCTCCAATGCGTGTTCCAACTCGCCAGCAGAACGCTCCAAGGCAGCACAAGGAACAACCGAATGTTTCTACACAGGAAGAGACCGGACCAAGATACAGAAACCCAAAGAACCAGCCAGCAAACTTATTTGACCAGGAAAACGTCCAAAAAGTTGAAACTCGCATTGAAGAGAAGCAGAAGCGAATCGAAGAGAAAATTGCAGAAAAGAACAAACAAGCAGAAGAAAAATTCCAGCCATACGTAAGAGAAGAGAAGAAGAAGGACAAATTCGCTGTCTACAAACCAGAAAACAACAACAATAATAATAACAACCAGAAACAGCAAGAAAATAAAGATAAATTCGCTGTTTACACTCCACCTAAAGAAGAATCAAAGAAGGAAGAAACAAAGAAGAAAGAAGGAAAGAAGAAACAGAAGAAAGACGACAAATTTGCTGATTTTGTTCCAGGAAAAGAACAAGAAAAACCAAAGGAAGAAGAGAAGAAACAAGAAAAGAAAGAAAACAAATTCGCTGTTTATGTTCCAGGAAAAGAAGAAACAAAGAAAGAAGAAACAAAGAAAGAAGAACAAGAAAAGCCAAAAGAACAGAAACAAAAGAAAGAAAACAAGTTTGCTGTTTATACTCCAGGAAAAGAACAAGAAAAACCAAAGGAAGAAGAAAAACAACCACAGCAGCAACAAACACAAAAGAAGAAAGAAAACAAATTTGCTGTTTATGTTCCAGGAAAAGAAGAACAACAAAAACCACAAGAAGAAGCGAAACCAAAGGAAGAAACAAAGCCACAAGAACAGCCAAAGAAAGAAACAAAGAAGCAAAAGAAACAAAAAGAACAACAAAAGAAGCAACAAGAACAAGAAAAGAAACAAGAGGAACAACCAAAGAAACAAGAAAAGAAGAAAGAAGACAAATTTGCTGTTTATGTTCCAGGAAAAGAACAACAACAACAAAAGACAAAAGAAGACAAGTTTGCTACATATGTTCCTGAAAAAGAACAAAAACAACAACCACAAAAACAAAATACAGAAAAGAAACTTGACATCAAAACAATCAGAAAATCTGTTTATTACTTATTCGAATCATACTCTCCATCTCTTACTGATGAACAAGTTTTGCAGACAGAAGAATACGCTGTTAAATTCACTGATCACGAGCCACAAGGTGAAGCAACATTATTCAAGTCTGTCAACTCTATTCTTGCGGATTATTTGATTGAATGCTTCTCCATCCAACCAAAGATGACAAATTCAACAACAAAAGTTCCAAAATCGAAGCCAATTACAATACCTCTTCTTCTTCCTCCATCAGTTATTCCTGTCCAATTCAAGAACGCTGATGAAAACCATGTCGAAATCTCCATCTTCAAGACTAAACAGACATCAATCGAAGAATGCAAAATGCTTCTTGAAAAAGCAATTTACAGACTTAAAATCGATTTCATTTTGTATTCATACACATTCAAGAAAGTCAGTAATGAAGGAACGAAACCATCTGCATTTGCAGAGATGATCAAGGATTACAACTGCTTAGTTTTATCTACACATCCTCCACAAAGAGATGTTATTTCATTCATTGTTTACGCACTGACAAAACAAGGAAAGGATATTGATGAGAAACTCGAAAAGATTAAGAAGATATACGAGGAATACTTCAATAGGAATAAGTTACTTCTCTGCAAGCATTGTCATTCAGCTTACATAGAAGGCGATGATTCTGTCTGTATCGAATATTATCACCCTGGTATGAGAATTCCTTTGGAATCTGGTTTGATGGAGAAGGAACTCGAAGTAGATGGCGAAACTAAGAAACTGGTTAATTACGCTTGCTGCGGTACTTGTTATTTGGATGATCCAGGTTGCCAACAAAAGTTAAACTTAACTCATACAGAAGAATCCGAAGTTTCCGAATTTTTGATCGAAAACGAAGTATTCTAATTATTTTTTTAAAATATATATTTATACTAAATTAACTTAAAATATTATTTTTATATTCGAAATTTGATTTCATAAATGTCATATTATATTGAACATTCTTGAAGGGAATAATCTAACATTCGATTACGCTACAGAATTCGTAGTTAAATAATGATACTAAAGCATTATCAAACAAATTTATTTCATATTTCATGAAAACAATGGTTGTAGCTATAAATCCTCATCATTATTGATATAAATTAAGCAAAATACACACTAATGTTCAGTTCCTGAGTGTAATTATTCGAAATATCAAAATTTCATTTCAAATCCTTTCAAAATGAAGAACTGATACAACATACACACATCAAACATTGATGAGGTTTTACAAAGGATCAATGTTGAAATTGAAATTCCGGAAAATCCGAAAAATACGATGAATGCACATGTTTTCCATCTAAATATGATTGTGATGCTGTTTCTACATACATGTATATAAAGGTTGGTTCGACTAAGAAAATTTGGATAAAAAATAACGATACAGAGCGATGGGAACGAAATGGGACTGTGGGTTCGATTATCCCCACGGTTTAGCATGCTGGCTAGGCAATGTAGCTTCCATGTGTTTCTTTGTTGTTTATGTTCCACAGTTTATTCTGAATTTTAAGAGAAAATCATGTAATGGATTTTCTCTTGATTCCACGATAATTAAACTCGTTGGGTCCTCGTTCTTGTGTTTCAACTCTCTGTTCAATGGGAGTGGGTTACCAGTGTTTTTATATGGATCATTAAATACCGCTCAGCATTTACTTTTCCTTTTTCAGTTTTCATATTATTCCTCGCACAAAAAGAGTATTTTGATTAGTCCTATTGTACTTATTCCGCTTGTCTTGGCAAAATTATTTCCAAAATCGATAAAATACACCGATTTGATCAAACCTATTTGCCAAATTTTATCGCATATACCTCAACTTCAGCAATGCATTAAGCTCCATACGACTCTAGGCTGTTCTCTGGTCGGCCAACATTTGAATTTAATCGGAGGAATCTTAGGATGTTTCATGTGTTACCTTATTAATGAGCAGTCGGCTAAAACGTGGATCATTTACTTTAATTCATGTTTCCAGGCTCTTTCAATGTACTTAGTTGCATTTTGGTATCATGAAATGCGCCTTTGCGATAATTCAAAGAGAGTTAGATCTGACAAAGAGAATAGCGACTCAGAACCTCTACTTTCATAACTAATTTTGATTTTAGATCAAAAATTTATTTATTTTACTCATATTGCATTAATATACTATATATAAATGTTTGTATTTACTGTATGTTATAATCACTACTTACTTTTTTTGGCATTTTTTTATAATGAAAAATACTTTATATCCAATCGGCAGCGATTTCATTTATATTAAGTCTATCGGATACGTTTTTAACCATGTTGATGGACTTAAAATTAATGAAATCAAACCAAAATTCCTCATTAATGGCCAGATAAATAATATTTTTCCAACAATTGACCCTCTATTAACAGAAACTGGATATATCATACAAAGTAACGAAAATCAATTCTTAATTTATACAGATTCTGACCAAGATCTTCGAGATTTAAAAATTACAATTCCAAATGGCATAAATTTGAATCAAATTACATTTTTCCTGTACCAAACTATGCTCGTTATCAACTCTGGGAAGTTAATAGTAACAGATTCCTCACAAAATGTCATTTTTGAACACGAATTACCTTATGATTCTTATTTTATCAGCCATAACTCCACACAAGCATTAATTGTATCAAATTCTGAGAACTTTGTAGCCATTGTTACATATCTAGATCAAACAGAGATTGAATTTGTCACTCTCCCAGGCGGATACTCAGTCATGACATGTGCTGATATATTCGATGATCAATCCATAGCATTTGCATCAAAAGACAATCAAATTTACTTATATTCTGCAGACGATGAAATTAAATCTGTTTCTCTCCCAGAACAAATCATCAGAATCAAATCTTTAGATATTGATCCATTTGAGAGAGCCTGTGCAGTATTGTCTGTTACAAACAGGCTATATTACGTTAGATTTGACTCAGAAACTGTAACCGAAGTTATAGACAATGTTATTGACTTCTGTGTCATCAATAACCCTTTTGATATGGTAATTGTGAACACAGGAGAAGATGATTTGAAAGTTGTTAATCAATTAGGAATCAAAATACTTGAACCATCAATGCAATCAATGGTTGACGCATTGAGCACTAGAGTTGTCGCATCTTTGTCATATGTTTCGAAAACTCGCGAACGATTAACTCTAAGAAAATCATTATCAGATGGAAAAGAAATAGAATTGCCAAAAATGAAAGCTATGTTTGGAGAAAAACCAAACCCACCAGAAGAGCAAAAAGAAGACACAGTAAAACAAGATTTTTGGATTGAAAATGTTACAGATTCTTCATTTATTATTAAATCTCATGATTTGATATCTCCTGACATAGCTGTATTCCTTACTTCAGATACAATTGGATTTGAAGCTCAAACAGAAGTCGTTGCTCTTAATGAAACTTCTATTCAAGTTAATTATGATATTTCTATCACATTTTGTTCAACAATCTCTCCATTACATATTTATATTATATTTGAAGGCATATCTTATTATGTTGGCGATATTCATTTGCCTCCGAAATATGTCATGTCTTCAAGAGAACTCAACAGAATTCATATTTCTTACACAGTTTCTTTTCATTCTAATGGACATAGATATCCAACAAGCCATCTTCCGCATGATAAGAACCAACCTATATGGATTGAAGATATAGATGGCGGCGTAATTCTCCATATAAAGGGAGATTCTTGTTCTCATTTTTCCCAAAGACTATTGGCTGCTGCTTCCCTTTTGCCATCTAGTGCAATCTTTATGAAGATAGAACATGAGAAGTGTAAGAATATGGCTGCTAAAAATATTGCTAGAATTGTGTCGAAATTCACTCAAATTCCTCCGAATCCAAATATCGATTGCGATATTTTACTCGATTTCAAAGCTGCTCTCGATGAAAGTTTTGCTGTACTTCTATCATATTGTTAGAGCTTATATGTTTGTATTTATTATTGTAAAACTCATATTATTTCTTCATTTATGAAACACTATGTTTTTATTTCTAAGTTTGTATTGATGAAATCATGTAATAAATGCACATAGAACTTGTAAATTGTCATATTTTAAGAATGGAGAACAAAGTTATTGTTAAGCGAGAAGCGAATGAAGATACAATCTCTTTATCAGATATAGTATCGCCATGTAGCTCGGTAGTTTATGGTCATTATATGAAAAATCAGCAAATTATTTACATGTTTAAAAAAATTAATTCAGATGAAACGCAATATTCATCAGATGTTGACGTTGTTGGTCTTGAATCAATTGAAAAATATTGGAACGAACTAGCAATGGCCTTTTCTGTAAGTGATAATAAAAGACCCCAATTCAGATTCTTTTACAACATGACAATTCCTCCAGAAAACAAAATAAAATACATATCTCCAGCGGATTATTCTAATTTTCAGAACGATATTTTACTAATGCAGACAATAAAAATTTTATCAATTACAAAAACGGAAAATGGATATACATTTCAAATATATGATACTAAAGCCAATAAAACTTCGACTGTATCCACTACAGACACTCTTGATAAAGATGTTTTGCTTGCAATCAATCAGTATTTGTTAGAAATGGCCCAAAATACTGTAAAGAAATAAGTGTTTATGAGAATTACAAATCCATTTCAATTGATAATTTATTCTGATGATATACTTACTAGAAATGCATCTTAAGTCAGTTCCCATCTTATCTTGTAAATATTTTGATGATTTGTTTTGTTTTATTGTATAAAATATCCTTCTTTCAATAAAATTATAAATTTGAGATTAGCTCCTTATGTCTTCTTTTAATGACATCATGCCATATTGATGCTTAACTGTTTTGTTGAATTCCCGATTACCTGGATTAGAATTCAGTAAAGAATCTCCAAAATTTTTTTCGCTTTTCAAAGCTTTATCAAAAAAAATTTATATAATATCGATAACTTACTGACAGTTAATGATAATTCTCTGTTATTTGCAATGAAAATAAAAAATCAATTGAAATTAATTTTGAAATTTTGTTTCCCACTATATGAATATTGAAAATGAAACGAAGACTTTTACATTTGTAAAGTGTTTGAAAATTATGGCACTTTTGAATACTTCAATTGTATCACTTTTTATTATTTTTTCTGATAACTCGTTATTTCATGTGACTCAAAATTATTTAAAATATAGATAATTTGCGTTCATATAATCATAATTTCATCTGAATTGAACACTTTTGATTGTTAAAATTTTTGTAAGGAGCACTCTATGGGCTGTTTCCAATCCCAGCCACTTCAAAAAACAAGTGGAGCGAGGAGGCCAGTAGCCCAATTAGGTTTATTTTCAGATCACAAGCAAGAAGATGATCCACGTTTAGCAAATACCTCAAGAATGAATGGGAATTTGACAAACGTGATTAATGAGTGTGCTGCTGATCGACAAATACAAATATTTGAGTGGATTTTGATTAAAGAAATAGGAAAAGGCTCGAGATCGAACGTTTTTCTTGCAAAAAATACAGAAACCAACCAAATACTTGCTGCAAAGATATATGATAAAGGCTTACTACTTAGACAAACTCTAGAAAACGTTGATCCGCCATATGTTGCTGTTCAACGAGAAATTGAAATTATGGCTGCAGTTGATCATAGATATATATTAGACGCTAAAGAAGTTATAGAAGACGATATACTAAACGCTATTATCATATTAATGTCATATGCAGAGCGTGGAACTTTGCAAGATATGATCGAAGCGAAGAAGTTTACAGAAGATATGATACCGATCTGCTTTTTCGAAATAGCCGAGAGCTTGCGTTATTTACACTCGTTGAATATCGTTCATCGCGATATTAAGCCAGAAAATATTCTCGTTTTTTCGGATACGGAATTTGTTTTATCAGATTTTTCAGTATCAACTGCACTATCAGACGAGAATCAAAAGTTGGACGATACAATGGGTTCCCCTGCCTTTTTATCTCCAGAAGAATGCGACCAAGACTCTTTTGCTCCAAAGCCTGCAGACGTTTGGGCGTATGGAGTTTCGCTATACTACTCGGTATTTAAGAAATTTCCATTCAATCTTGACTCTTGCCACGGTCAGAATGCGGCTAATACGGCAATTTCAGTTACTAACCTACTTACAACAGAACTTTTAACATTCCCTGAAGGAACTGATGAAAATTCTGATGTAGTTCGACTTTTGAAATCAATTTTAAATAAAGATCCTACAAAAAGGCCAACTTTTGAAGAAATCATCAAGGATAAGTACTTTGATGTTGCTCTCCCTATTGATGAGGTCAACAAAAAGAAATGGCTTGATAAAAAGAAAGAATCTTCAGTCGATATAATAAATCCTCAAGCAGAAGAAGAGGAAGAAGAGAAAAAGTCGAATGATGCTTTTGTTATATAGAAATATAAATTATTTCATGTTTTTTTGTTTGTTATTAAAATATAATAATATCTTTACACGTATTCAGCGTTTTTGACATATCTAATAAGCCTTTTAGCATTATTCGTAAGATATTAATGGTAAATGAACGAATTATATGAAATCATGACAAGACTGTAATGTAATCTCATTTGAAGTTTTTTTGGATTTAGAGGTGAAATAAATTGACGTATTGCACCAGTATGTTATAATAGGTCGATTTATAATAAAATAATTATTATAATAAATTTGATTTTCAGTGACGGCGCTACGCGCCTTTTAGCATTCTGGGCACTTACGTGCCCAGAATGCAAGCTTGAGAAATTTGAAACGAAGTTTCAAATTTCTGCCTTGCTGTTAGGTAAAAAGATTTTTTTGGGGAAATTGAATGTGAAAATAAAACTTAGTTTTTTTTTGTGAGATATGGATTTTTTAGAAGATATTAGAGATCTAAGTCTCAATTTATAAAAAATTTTAAAATTGAGAGGAATTTTAATGATATGATTTTATTAGATATTTGGATTTTTTAGAAGATTTTAGAGATGTCAGTCTCAATTTATAAAAATTTATAAAATTGAGAGGAATTTTAATGATATGATTTTATTAGATATTTGGATTTTTTAGAAGATTTTAGAGATGTCGGTCTCAATTTTTTAAAAAGCGGTTAATGTGTCGAGTGGGGGACAAACTCGCCCATTGTCACTTTTTCATTAACCTTAAACTTGTAATTTTCATTATTTTTAATTAACCTTATTTCTTTCCCAATTCCTGATTTATTTTATTCACTTACTATTAAAAGTCACATTTTAATAAAATATAATAATTTATTTATAGCATTTTTTACTATACTGTAATAAAAAATTAATTATAATAAATTAAATGTTTATTAAATCAAATGTTTTCTTTGCAATAATATTTTTAATGTTGAGTAAACAATGTTGGGATCAAGTGTATCATTTTTCAGACCTTTCTGAACAGCTTCAAGCATACTGATGCATTCGACTTTTTTAAATTGTGTCATTTCTTCGAAATCTCTTGTGACTTTTTTGATAACTTTAACACTTCTCTCTGAATCCAGACCTTTAATTTGCAACTTAATCAGGAATGAAGGAACAACACTGGAATATAACTCGATGACAAGTTCATCGAGTCGAAGATTTGGTTGTACACCACTTGTATGTGCCGGATACCATTGTGTCAAATTTTTTCTGAAATTAACTTTAAAAGTACTAAGTAAGATCATGAGATATAGCAATATATGTTTAAACCAACTTATATTTTGGTTGTACACCACTTGTATGTGCCGGATACCATTGTGTCAAATTTTTTCTGAAATTAACTTTAAAAGTACTAAGTAAGATCATGAGATATAGCAATATATGTTTAAACTAACTTATATTTTGGTTGTACACCACTTGTATGTGCCGGATACCATTGTGTCAAATTTTTTCTGAAATTAACTTTAAAAGTACTAAGTAAGATCATGAGATATAGCAATATATGTTTAAACTAACTTATATTTTGGTTGTACACCACTTGTATGTGCCGGATACCATTGTGTCAAATTTTTTCTGAAATTAACTTTAAAAGTACTAAGTAAGATCATGAGATATAGCAATATATGTTTAAACCAACTTATATTTTGGTTGTACACCACTTGTATGTGCCGGATACCATTGTGTCAAATTTTTTCTGAAATTAACTTTAAAAGTACTAAGTAAGATCATGAGATATAGCAATATATGTTTAAACTAACTTATATTTTGGTTGTACACCACTTGTATGTGCCGGATACCATTGTGTCAAATTTTTTCTGAAATTAACTTTAAAAGTACTAAGTAAGATCATGAGATATAGCAATATATGTTTAAACTAACTTATATTTTGGTTGTACACCACTTGTATGTGCCGGATACCATTGTGTCAAATTTTTTCTGAAATTAACTTTAAAAGTACTAAGTAAGATCATGAGATATAGCAATATATGTTTAAACCAACTTATATTTTGGTTGTACACCACTTGTATGTGCCGGATACCATTGTGTCAAATTTTTTCTGAAATTAACTTTAAAAGTACTAAGTAAGATCATGAGATATAGCAATATATGTTTAAACTAACTTATATTTTGGTTGTACACCACTTGTATGTGCCGGATACCATTGTGTCAAATTTTTTCTGAAATTAACTTTAAAAGTACTAAGTAAGATCATGAGATATAGCAATATATGTTTAAACCAACTTATATTTTGGTTGTACACCACTTGTATGTGCCGGATACCATTGTGTCAAATTTTTTCTGAAATTAACTTTAAAAGTACTAAGTAAGATCATTTATTTTTGCATAATATAATGCCAATATGGTTTCTTTTGATTTTATTTCATTTATAAGCAAATCAGATTTACCCAAAAACTCCACTCCATAAGCGTTCATTTGCTAAATTAAAAAGTGACAATGGGCTAGTCTGTCCCTTTCTCTTAATGTGTCGAGCTTGAAGTCTAAAATGGCAAATACTGAACTTTTTTAAATTTTGATTGGATAAATAAATTATACATTATAATAGCATTCTAAAACAATTATTAAAATCGAGTTTAGGAAAACTGAAATTTCATGAAAAGTGACAAAAGGTGCCAAATTGCCAGTATATGAGATTTTAATGTTACCAGAACACACATACCATACATTGTCTAATATTCATAATATAAATGAATTTTATTGACATCAATAAATTTAAATCATGGAGTTGATAAATGTTAATAAGTTGATACTAATTTACATACAAATGTGAATCAAGATATATTAAAATTATCGAGTTTTAATTTTTGAGTTTTGAATCTCCCGAATTTCCCATACAAACATATATTAATTTTATAAAATATAGAAATAAAATCAGATTCTACGATGCTTTTTGAAATGTGTCCAGGTGTTTGTATATATATATACACGTTCATTTCTATCGGCGCGCAGAGCGCGCCGATAGAAATGAATGACAAGGCTGTCATGCACCAGTGTGTTATAACAGATCGATTTTATTTGAAATTTCATAAATTAATAATTATAATAAATTTGATATTCAGAGACGGCGCTACGCGCCTTTTAGCATTCTGGGCACTTACGTGCCCAGAATGCAAGCTTGAGAAATTTGAAACTTCGTTTCAAATTTCTGCCATGCTGTTATGGAAAAAGAAAGTCAGTACAAAAAAAATTTTGAAATTGAGAATAAAAATAATATTGTGAGTTTTTGTGATATATGGATTTTTTAGAAGATTTTAGAGATTGAAGTCTCAATTTATAAATTTTTTTTAAATTGAGAGGAATTTTAATAATATTATTTTATTTGATATTTGGATTTTTAGAAGATTTTAGAGATGTCAGTCTCAATTTAAAAAAATTTACAAAAAATGATCGTAAAATAATCGTTTTTGTTCAAATCCTTTTCATTTCTGGAAATTGAAGTTAAATATCAAAGAGATGGTCTATGCATATGTTAAATCAAATCATTAAAAAGTGTTTTGATGACTTTTTCTAACCGCAAATTGTCACTTTTTGATGTTTTAAAATTATTATATATCCTATATGCATATAAGATACAAATTAATATTAAAACTCCAAAATCGATTTTTGAGAGAATCAGATTTATCACATCTCATCGTTGTTCCGAATTAATATTTTATTTGTAATGTACATATTATCACAATTATATTTATCATATTAAAATTCAAAAATAATTTTTGAGTTTCAGATCTCCCTAATTTCCCATATAAATATATGTTTATTTTATTAAAAATAGAATGTCCAATTATTGATAAAAATCGATCCGCTTTTCTACCGGTCAAGCTGTATATATATAGAACCCATCCATGTAAACCTCGATGTCACTTTTGCGGCCGAGCGGAGCGAGGCCGCAAAAGTGACATCGAGGTTTACATGATGGAAAAATAATAATATATTTGTGGGCTGGTTGTATATGTTTCTATCTTGCCATATCTAATGATTTTTCCCATATTTCTTAGAGTCATAATGATGTTTTCACCGAATGAAAGCAATTTTATATCTCCACAAAAAAATGGAATGAAAGGCTTAAAAAATTTATTAAAGTAAAAACGAAGTTTTAAATTACAAGAGGGTTCGTTAATTCTGATAGTTGGTCCTTTGGAATCTTGTTGGATTTCTTGCATTTGATAACAACAATGATAATAACAATCACAGAAAGAACAAACAAAGCAGCAAATGAATACATAAGTATCATGTAGAGTTTTGTCTTGTCCAGCTTATAAGCATTATCTTCTTCTAAAGAGAATCTCATACTGCCAATTTTAACTGTCTTATAAATAGCCAAATAGAGTTTTCCTGTTGATGATTTGATGTCTGTTACATTTACAAATTCGCGTTTAGATTCATAACAGTGCTGTCTTTGGTTTCCGACAACTCCCAATTTATCATCGAAGCAAATGCGTAATCTTTCATCATTATAATCTGGTTTGATTGATAATTTATAGTTCTTGCTCTTCTTGACATCGAAACTAAGCCATCCTGGATATCTTGAATCGATTTTAACACTATAAGGATTGCTTAATTTTCCTTGACCAACAAATGTTTGACAGACTGTTCCAGTCCATCCTTCTTTGCAAACGCATAATCCATTCACGCATTTTCCATTTCCAGTGCAGTTTCCTGGACAGATTTTTTCGCTTTCTGCTTTAGAAAGCTGAGTAAATTCACTGAACTTTGCCAAAAGTGCTAAAGAATATTCGATCTTAACTTTCTTATCGAAATATCCTGATATAACATGAACTTTGTAAGTTCCTTTATGTGCTTTGATCTTTATTCTGTTATGTGTTGATGTGTATTCATCAAGTAAATCTCCTAAATCATTAGCAGAATAAAGAGTTCCTTTCTCATCTTCAAGCAACAAGTTAACTTGAGCATAAAGAATACGATTTGCTGTATAAGCGAGTGGTGCATCAGCATAAGAAAGAGTAATAGATAAATCGCAATCTTCTGTAACAACAATCTTGAATTCTTGTTTCTCTTCTGGTTGGATGGAAATGTTATCAAAGAAACCTAATTTATTCACTCCGAAACCTAATGAATCATATAAATTAGGTAATCCATATCCAACTGCATTGTCTTTAAACAATGATTTGTTGACTGGTTTTCCTGAATTCATTATAACAGCTTTTAATAAACTTGCTGTTGGAACAAAACCTTTTCCTTTCTTTTCATTGAACCATCCTTCCATGAAATACTGTCTGACTAATGCAGCACTTCCTGCCATCAATGGACATGACATTGATGTTCCTGATTTAGTTATCAATGTACTCATGGAATAATCCTCTTTGAAAACAGAATTGTTTCCTCTGGAATAAGCTGAGTAAATGAAAGCACCTGGAGCAACAATGTCTGGTTTAGTAACTCCACTGTATCCTGGTCCTTGAGAACTAACTTTGTACAAGTTAATATCTAATGGCTTATCAGTGGATAATTGGTTAATCGTTACTCTTGTTGAATTATTTATTTTCTGGAGTTCTTCCTTTGTTTTGACAGCGAATTGTGCAACATAATTTTCATTGCAAGGATCTTTTTCGTCAAGATAAACAATACCAAATGCTCTTTTATCTCTTGCTGATTGTGCAATTGTACAAATATCTTCATTATTATCAATGACTGCCCACAACTTACCTACCATTGGTCCATCTGATACATCCATGTTCTTTAGATCTAAAAGATTGGATTGAACATCAACAAGATTTGCATCAGAAACATTAGAGAATGTTGAGTTAATTTTTTCACCATTTTTCAATACGAATTGATAAGTAACGTTTCCTTGGTCAATTCTCCATGTGTATGGTTTATAAACATTTCCAACAGTGAAAACATTCTTTGAATCTCCAAATGTTCCAACAGTTAATGGTCCAAGTCTGTTTCCTGCACTTTTAACAATCAAAATATCTTTGTGTTGATAAGTAACAATGTCATAAATATATGTTAAATCGGTATATATTGTTTCTCCAAAACTATTCGATGCAATGCCAACTCTTTCGTTCGCAATTTCTTTGTATCTTTGCTCGATATCGAAATCCAATTCAATGTTCTTTATTTTACTTGATTTGTTGCTTATTCCGCCAATAATTGTATCCAAGATCATGATCTTTGCATCAGGAGCAATGCCGTCGTATTGGCTTGCAAATGATTGGTTGTTTATGGATTTTCCGGCCAAAATACCACAAACATGAGAGCCATGGCCACCTTCGTAGTCAGATGTATCGGCAATTGTGTCGTATCTGTAGATTTTACGATGGTTTGGCATTGTTTTGTTGAATTCGAGCTTTGGATGATCAGGATCGTAGAAGAAATGGTGATTATAATCTATTCCAGAGTCTGCGACGTGGACTATCTGGCCTTTGCCTGTTAATCCTAGTTTATGTAATGGTCTTGCGATCATATTATGTTTGTTGTCGATTTCTGGTAAGATATTATTTGGATTTTGGATAAAACCGACAGAAAACCTATTCTCAAGCTCATTTGGATGATGCTCTTGAATAGATATGATATTCGGGTCGTTAATGTAATCAGATTTGTCGGCATTATAAACAACAAAAAATCCGAAACCGAGAGAAGTAAATTTTACATTTGGATTGTCGGGTGTCCATCCCTGATAGGCACGAATCAGGAAATCGCCACTTTCGACATCATCTTGCGCGATTCTGGTGCGTTTTACCGTAAAAATTTCGACAGTTTTGTAATTTTTCATTTTTTCGAATTCATTTTCATTTAAATGCATTAAATAGTAGTCAGGATGAACAATATTGTATGTTTCGAACTTGTTTGGGAATTCTTCGGATAAAATCTTTCCTTGATCTGATGAAAGAGTCACTAAAAGATGAATGTAAAACCATCCATAGTTTACTGATTGGGTACTTCTTGAGTATCTGATATCTTGTTGACCAGTTACCTCAAGAAATGGAGCCGAAACCATGATTATGACAAATTTGTCAAATCTGCCATTCAAAAATTCAAGTGGTTAGATTTAGTGAAGTCACTCACCCATGTCTTTTTGGGTGGCTTTCATAGTTTCTGAATACCCCAAAATAAGTAATATTCGTTTTTTATTGAAACTGATTTGCACTAAAGTGGCAAATTGACAGATGCAGTTCGAAGAAGATTCAAGGTTCATTTAATGATGATTGACAATGTAAATGATTGTGTTTATACTAGAATAGTCGGTCTTATAAGAGTTTTGATATATTTTTGAATGTTTTTGTTCTATCAACATCAACTTTCAGTACTTTGTAGGCAAGCAAAGTCTTTCACGTATGTAATTTTGATCTTAAAGCAGTATTTTATCCTCTAATGAACGCGTGTCTATTCTAAAATGGCAATATACTAACTTTCATCAAAATTATGAAAATGATAATATCTTTCTATAATATGTGCATAAATTCTCTGTGACATTCTTTCAAGCATTTAATGAGAGCCATTTGAGAGTTTTCATTGAAAATTGATAAAAATTGAACCAAAATTAGAGTTATCTTGAAAATTTTTGTGTAAGAATGACTAACAATATGATTCATTGTTGAAATATGATGATATTCTTCTTTACATTAATATTTTTTCTTCGTTATTTTTATGCAGCACCCTTTTCCCTTTATTCCTAAAAAGATTAAAGGGAAAAGTGCTCCACCTGTCAAGAGCAAAGTAGATGCTAAGGTTGAGCCTAATGCATGGCTTACAGACGGTCTTGTTCGGCCTATCGAAAGAGGTTTACCTATAAGTCCCACGCCACCACCTGCATTAGATCCAAATATGCCTACTCCAATGGAAAATTTCGTAAATGTACTTGTAGAACGCCCTTACATGAAATCTTTTAGAAAAATGTATGGAAATTTAGCAGCAAAATATCCAGAATTCAACTTCGATGACCCAGATAACTTATCTTTATACGAAAAAGAATTTATTTACCAAAATTCGCATGATATTGGCGAAACATTATTAAAACAAACGCAATTAAAGCTAACAGTTCCCGATGCACATGGAAATTTACAAACAACAGTTGGAGAAATTCCATTAAATGCACATCTTTATACATTTGGAGGAGCAATTCCATATTTTGAATCTCAAATTTTTGAGGAAGAAAAGGTAAAAATTAACCCAGAAGATCTCAAGCCAAAGAAGATTCAAACTGGTATACATGGTCCAGCTGTTGAAAATCCAGATGATGCACTAGCTACTACATTTCGCGAAATACACTTTGATTGCCTTTCACCAGAAGAAATTGAAGCCTGCAAAACAAAAGAAGATTCAGCTATTCATCCATTAAATCTTATTCCTCCTAGTCTTGGTAGATCTCTTGCCAATTCTCAAATTGATAAAAGAATAACCGATAATACAGTTACTGATTGTATAAGTGAATATTTCACAGCAACAGGTAAACCTTTTGTTCCCAGAAATGTCGAGAAATACTTCTCATTATCAGTTTTAACTCCAAAGAGAAAGACATTTACGAATACAGAACTAGAAAGGTCTACTACTCAGTCAGTTCTCTCTTCGGTCGAAGGTCCTGATGATCCATATGCTGGTATTGATCCGAAATCAACTCTCCTTGATACAAGTGACCAAGATGTACTTTTTACAACGGAAAAAGCTCCTTTCAAACGAAGCGAAATTGCAGAATTAAGGGCATTTAATCAGCATTGGGATAGACTACAGAAGAAGCAGAACGAGAAGTTCAAACAGGAGTTAAGAAAGAGAAGTCATCATGTTCAAAGAGCTTTCCAATCTCGTGAAGTTATGAAAGAATATTTAAATCTTTTAGATGAAGATTACAGACGAATAAATGCCGGAATTATCGGTAAATGTCCTTTCAAGAACAAGAGCATGTGGCAAGTAGCATGTGAAAGAGCTCCTAAAGATATGAGTTCCCTTGGCGAAAGAATGAAATTCTGGTGGAGATTTGGAACATTTGTAAGTGAAATTGGCGGAATAAGAGATGATTTTGATCATGAAGTTATGGATACTTTAAGGCACAAATTAATGGATAACCATCCAATCAATAACTCCCTATTCTTTGAAGTAGTTAATGATGTGAGTGATGATGCATTACAATCAGTTAGTTCTCTTAAACTGATTGAATTTATGAGAATAACTTTGGATATCAATCAAAAAGAATTTATGAAAGTTTTTACAACAAGACACGTATCACAGTTCGTATATACTCAAGCTATATTAACTAATATTTCATCTGAGCATTTGGAAAGTATGAATAGAGTTTCCAAAATGCATATCACTGTACCAGAAGTTTCAGATTTAAAGTAAAAAATAATTTTATTACCTCAAATACTTTTTAGTATAATATTACAGTTAAAAAAGCAAATTGGTGATATTAATTAAAAATATTGAAAATATGAATTACGCAATATCATCCTTCTTCTCAAAACGAATGTTCACTTTTTGAAAGGTGTTATTTATAAAAATAGGAACCTGTCAGCGTATTCATGATGAGAAGTTCAATCAGCTTACAGAGCAAAAAGATATCAGCTATGCAAATTTGAAAAAGCAAGTTAAAAATGTTGTCGATATATTTTTATGTATTTCATATCGAATTGTTTTAAATAAAATTTATGAGATCATGGTTTTCTAATAGAATATTGCACTGCATCCATGATTACCAGTTAATCAGAAAAAATATATAAACAAAATTGAAAAAATTAAAACTAATGCTCAATTTAGAATTCTAGATTATGTATTGGCGGCTTACAATGACTACTAAATATGCATGAATTCTGAAATTCAAATCCAAACAATAAAATTTAATTTTAGTAGCAAAACTAATTAATTGTTAAATTAATTTGTATTCTTGATATTGTTATTTCCGAATTTCAAATCCAATTTGAAAAAATCAAAATTTTTAAATTTTTGTAAATTTATCTTTTTTTGTGCTCATAATAGATAAAAATGTATGGGAAAACATTTGTTAAATGATTTATTGGTAATGTCGGGAATGAAATAAATATACTTTAGATAATGCCTTTTACAATTCACTATATTGTAAAAATAAATTCTAAGGCGACATGTTGCAATATAATTCGTTCTATCCTATAAAAACAAAATGCATAAATATCCGATAATCACAAACTTGTTTTTAATTTTGCAAATCTCTATATGTAATACGTAGATCACTGGTTCTTCTTGGAAAATGCTCGAATCTTATCAAGAATGCTGTTTCATGGTTGCAACTTTTATATTTTATATTTTGGTATCGTCTTGCAACGGCAATGTTCTCAAATATGGCGTTGGTAACTGAGAATGAAGAAATATAGCCGAATATATCTAAACTAATAGATTATATTACAAATGTCATGTTCCTTTCATGATTTGACGACAATTGAAAAATAATTATATGATAACTTAAAAACTCGATGATTTGTTAATTAGATAGACTTTTATATAGAATTATTATAACATAAAAAACAAACAAAATATAAAATTAAACGAAATTAAAAAAGAAATCACTTTTTTCCTGGTTTCTTTGATGGTTCGTCTGTCATAGTCTCTTCATTCTTCCTGTCAAGTTCATCCATCTGCGTTGCCAAGCTGTTCTTCTCTCTGATAAGTATCAAATTTGACGTCATCCTTAATTTTGTCAAATTTTCTTTGAAAAACTGCATAACTTGGCCGAGCTGTTCCTTCGATGTTTCCGAGATTCCTCCTATGAGGTGGTTGTTCATGAAGCGTATTGGATCGTGTAGTTTCTTATCAGAGCCAACAGAGAACCCTCCGATTTGGCATGCGAGAGAAAGAGCATTAATTATCTCCATTTTATTTGTCAACAAATTCGAACAATTACAATGACTTTCTAAATGAGTAAATTGTTCAACACTTGCTGATGAATTCCTTGCTCTCTTCAAGTTCCTGCGCTTTCCATTCTCCTCGTTCTCCTCGTGCATCTTGACAATTGGCATTGGAGCTCCGTTCTGTATATCATTTGATTTGATGGAAATTTCTTTGTCCATGTATTGTTTGATTGTATCTTGAGGAATGAGGTTGATCATGTCGCTTCCGAATGAGGTTACAACAGTAAGTAAAGAGGAAAGTATGGTTCTGTTCTTATTCAATACATTGGAAAGATCTACGTGAGAATTAACAAGATCTTGGTATTGTTTAAGGATTTTCCAGTACTTTTCATAAACTTCCTTACGATCTTTAGTTAAATTAGTAAGTTTTTCAACGAGAACGTCAATTTGAGCGTTTTTGTTATCGATATCAACAACATAACCGTCAATTTTATCGATTAAAGCGAAATTTGCATCTAAAACTTTATCAGCACGATTGTGAGGAAGTGAAGAAGCATCACTTGTATAAGAACGTTTAGTTCCGCCTCTTACTTCATCTTCAAGTTTTTCTACAGTCTTCTTGTAGTCCTGGAGTAGTTCTTGTTGCTTGGCAAGATTACCTTGTGTAATAATCTGGCTCGAAGATAAGTTGTACTGAAGATCTGAGAAACTTAATTTCATATTAAGAACTTTTTCATCTTGTGATGGAACAAGTGTATCGAAATCCATTCCTTCTTCGACTTCTTTAGGTGCTTCAAAGAAATGCGCTATATCTAGTTCGCTTTCGACGATATCTTTGATTGTATCAACGAGCATTCTTGAAGAATGGCATGAGAAGTTATCGAACTTGCGGCGCTTGGTCATTGGATCGCATGCGAATTTGGTTTCTTCGGCTTTGAGTTTTTCATTTTCTTCCAAAAGCTCATTGTATTTACTTAAGAGGCCATTTAAGCTGCCAAACTCTGAATTGATAGTTTCACTTGATTCTCCGCTTTGTTCGACAATGATTTTCCTTTTATTAAGTTCATAAGCTAACTGTTCAAGATGATGAATCATTTCGTCTTGTAAAGCGAATGATGTTATTTGTTCATTGATGCATTTCGTTTTTAGTCGTTCCTCAAATCGAGCAAGAGGAGGAATTGTTGTAAATCTCATAATTTCGCTTTGTAATTTTTGGCATCCTTCCATATATTTCGCTTTCTCATGCTTTTTGGCATGCTGTGGAGCTAGTTTATAGAAGTCCGAATTCTCTTGAAGATTTTTTTTATCTTGTTCTGCTTTTTTCAGTCTATCTTGTAAGTTTTTCAATTGTTTCTCTTTTTCTTTGTTACTTCTAATCGCTTCATCGAACTCATTGTACATTGTTGGCCAAAGTTCGTGGACTTCATTTAATAAATCGTTCTTTTCTGATGCGGTGGATGTTGTAATTGCTTTTTGGAGCAATTTAATGCCTTGTGTAGAATAAGAATTTACTTGTGGTGGAGGTGGTGGAAGAGGCTTAAGCGAAGATAGTCGGGGAATATGCATTTTTTTGTTTCAGAAGACTCAAACAAAAAAAACACGTTTTTTTGCGGAATGTAAAATTTGAAAAATTGTGATTTCCCTTATATTGTAAAGGATATCACATAGGCACTTGAAAAATGTCAAAATGAATTGGAGAATTCATATATTGATTCATCGATTTTTGATTTTTCAGTTCTTTGAGTCGTCCATATTTGCAAACAACAATGATCTTCTAGAAATAGATTTCTTCATTTGCTAGGTACTAAAAACAGATATTTTTATATTAAGAATTTTTCCATTCAAGGAAAGTGTATAATATAATACGGTCAAACAGTCATAAAACCCCCTTTAAAGGCAGTGTTTATGCTTAGATACGATATTAAGGAAATAAGTTATCCGTTATGTTTTAGAATTATATACTCAAATGCTAAGAACTTAAAGAAAAGTATGTACATATGATAAATAAGACATTTAGAAGTTATAAACGAAAAATAATAAATACTTTTTATGTTTCGGTGATGTAAACATTCGGGCGCTCGAAAGTCTTAATATCAGCTTCAAGTTGGGCTGCATCGCGTTCCATTTCTTCCTTCTTGCGACGGAAAGAAAGGTTGTCTTGGCCGAAGCTGAGAGATGCATAACGTTTCTTATTCTCTGCGAGGTTAGCATATAATCCATTAAGAATCTCAATACGCTCCTCTTCAGAAAGAAGGCGGCAGCGTGTTTCTGTATCTTCTGGCATCATATTTTCACGAACGTTATCCCAATATTCAGCTTCATCAGCTGCTTCTTGCTTAACACGATCCATGTATGATGGCATCTGACCATATTCTAGCTTGTCTGTGTACCATGTTTGTGGTTTTTCTGGATGAAGTTTCTTAGTCTTTGGAGCTTGCTTCCAATTTTCGAGGATGTAGTTACGCTTTGTTGGTGACTTCATCTTAATTGTCTCTGTAGCCTTTGGAACTGGAGGTTTATTTAATCCGTCATTACCTTTTGGAACAACGCGCTCTCTTGGTGGTAATTTCTTTGTTCTCTCGCCTTTCTTAAGATATTGGCTTGGTGGCTGACGTAATTTCTCTGGTGGAAGACCCATTGTTGCATGACCTCTCTTCTTTGCAGTAATAAATTGTGTCTGATCTTGGAATTTGCTCTTATGAAGTGGCTCCTTAACAATTACTGGTGGAGGCTTTGGAATTAAGTTGTAGATGCACTCTTCCTCGTCTAACATCAGAAACAACTCTACAAACGTATTTTTCCATTGAATGAAAAATTATATTAAAATATGCTTATGCATGATATTAATTGTATTTCATGCATAAAGTAGTTTATCATAAAGTTTGAATTTGAAATAATCGTCTTTATTACTCAAATTTATCCCATCACTTATCAACGAGAAAAAGGTTTTCAAATGAATTTAAAAGGAATTAAGATATAACATGACGCATCTGTTAGCACATGCCTATGTTGTATTATCTTTTCTTCAGAAAAAATGGGAAAATTAGATAATTAAAATATAAACAACATATTTTAAACATAATAAATAAGAATACAATACAAAAATTAAAAGTCCTTTGTTGGCTCATCATCTAAGTTCGCTCCTTTCCTAACAATTCTTTGTCTTCTAATGACAGTTTCTTGAATGTAAGGTTCGTTTAAGAGTCTTTCAACTCTTCTACTTAATTCATCATCGAATGGGAATGGATCCAAAGCAGGGTATTCAGGACCAGCTGAAGAGAAGCTGAAATCAGAGACACTTTGTGTATCCATTTCGTGTTCTTTCTCTTTGGATACCATGACGTATTCAGTGTGTGGATTAAACTCTGGTTTAGCCTGTACTCCTTGTGAAGAATATCCTCCATTTCTGTTCTTTTCAAGAGGAATATTTGGACAAGGCTTCGGGAAGTTTCTGTTGAACAAGGAAGGATCCATGTCCCAAATAGGTCCAAATGCAGGTCCTTGGCCGTTTTGTGCTGGCATGTAAACAGAGGGAGTGTAAGGTGGCATTGCAGGACCAAGCATTGGTATTCCAAATCCAGGTCCTGGTAAATTCTGTCTCATTTCTTCTGGTGTTGGAGGTATCGATGGTCCATAGCCGCTAGGAACCATTGGTGCTGGTGGAGTAACAGAGATTAATCTTGGCTGGCCTGGTGGAGGACCTTTCTCTTTAACAGCTGCATCAGGATCAACATCGATAAGTCGTAATCTTGGTCTGTCTCTTTGTACTTTTTTGACTTCTGGTTTGTGCTTTGATTTCTTTTTCTTCTTCTTTTCTGATTCTGATTTCTCTTTCTTAACTTTTTCTTTCTTTGGCCTTAAATCTTCTTCTCCTTCACTCAAGTAATCTCCTCCTGGACCTGGCTTTGCCAAAGGAAGATCCATTGGAGGTGGCTTGAATTCATCATCATCAGATGAATTGTAATCTGCCATACTTTCGGCTGAAATTGGTGTTTCATCCAATACTTCAACGCTCTGTATGACAACATCTGGTTTCTTCTTTTCTTCTGGAGAAGGCATCGTCAATTTTGGTTTGTATCTTGGGAATGAGAAATCTTCAATTTCTAACAAACTATTTGGAACAACCATCGGCATGTCGAAGCCAGTCATTGCCAAAGGAATTGCTGTTCTTAACCATGGCAACAAATGAGAAACAACTGCTGCTAATAAAATTGTTGAGTGTGGAATATCTTCTTCTCTAGCAATAAATCCTAAAACAGCGATTGAAACATCTGTTAAATCTTTTTGAGTTAATCTTGCAGCGAATTCACAAGCGAAATCAACAAAATCAGGATCTAACTCGAAATCTTTGTCTTTATCTGTAATATAATGTTCATAAACATCAGGACTGAACAAGTTATTATCATTTTCAAACATTTGTTCAATCATTGCACGGCTTTGTTCGACATTTATAAATTCAGGGAACTCCAAAAGTCTCAAAGCAGCATCTCCTGGATGTCCTTTAACAATAGACTCTTGGAAAGCATTGTGTCTCCATCTGATGAACCACAACAATCTAAACAATTCTCTTGTTGGTCCTCTCAAAACACTTGGAATCATAACGCTTCTTCCGTTGAAGAAATAACTTGCGTTTTGGAATCCTGTTGCGCAGAAAGCCAAAGCACTGACAACACCAAAATCTTGGCATTCATTTATATTCTCAGGAATTGGTAGTTCAAGTGCTTCTTCTGCCATGCATAAATCACTTACAGCGATTTCATCTTTATCTCTGTAATTTGGTGCTGTATCTGCAATTCTCTGTCTCATAATGTTTAACAAAGCATTAAGGCATAATGCTCTGATGTCATCTTCTTGGTTATGGTCCAATTCGATGCACATCAACATTGTTTTATATAAACTTGCTGCGTTTGTTGGATGGAGAGAAATAACTCTTGCGAAAACATTAGGAACTCCTGATTCAATTGATGGATGTCTTGCAATGTGAAGAGCTCTGTCGAATCTTCCTAATTCTATCAACATTTCTAAGATAACATTCAAATCGATGTCAACATCATCAAGAGTTGCATCAAATTCACGTTTAAACAATAAGCCATTGATAAATTTGATGACTTTGATGACATCCACATCTCTGTTATGATGAGGAGGTGCCATTGTCGCAGCTCCTGCAGTTCCTTCTTCGGAATTATCATAGAAAGTAATCTCTTTCACGTTGGCTATTGATTTTATACACCAATCTCTTCTACTGACTTCTTCATCCAAAATTCTAAGTAATAATCTGTCTCTTGGATTTGATGATGTTGAAAGCATTTTCATTACATCATCTAAAGCAGGGAATGTCTCATTAGTTATCTTCAAAGCTGCTCTGATAATAAAGAAGCAAAGAGCATCATTCTTTCCTGATTTAAGGAATGAATCGCAAACACTTTTGATGACTTCTAAAATTTCATATCTCAAAGGAGATTTGAAATAAAACAAACGAAAAACGTCAGCAAAATAAATCAACTTGCAAAAATCTTCAATACTTTCATCTTTCTCGATATTTCTGATGAGTTCCAAAGCTGTTTTATGGTATTTACAAGCCAATCTATTTGGAAACGGCATCGAAATAATGTTTTCAATGTTGTGTTCAAATAATTGTTCTCTGATGGTGAAATGTCTGAACTTAGTTCTCGAGTATATAATGAAAACATTGCCAAGATCTGAATCACAATAACAGCCAAGAGGTGCTGATTTTTCATCATCAAAAGGTGACATGTGACAAATTTTATGTTTCAAAGATTTTCCATGTCTTGTAATTGCTCCAATCAAGCCTGTATATGTTGTTACTACAAAGAATTGAAGATTAGTGCTCCATGCAAGCCAAGCAACTTCTGAATCATCTGATTTAAAGATATCTATCAAAGGAATGATCGCAATCATCTCTAAATCTCTTGTTAGCATTACAAGATTCTTTGCAATGGCAACAACTAAGATTCTGCAACATGGAGACCACCATAATCTTGGTGTGGCCTTTCCTTCTGTGACAGGTAATGTAATAGATTGACGACTAAACTTTGGTTGGTAACCGTAATTAAAATTACAAATTGAATTGAATAAGTAAATAGTATCCCATGGCTTAGATGGTGGTAAGACTGCAGTAATGAAGCAGGCTCCTTTGCCTTCGTCAGGGTTATCGAAAACTGCTAAACTTTTGAAGATTGTAATTGGATTTTCTTGCGCCATGTGGAATCCACCTGGAAAATGTTGTTCGGCGTTCAAATTTGTCCAAAATCCAACACATCTGTATTGCTCTTCTAATTGTTGCCAAACCCAAATATTATCTTCGAGTAAAATCGCTGCAATTTTTCCTGAATCAGAGATTACAAACTGTTTAACAAGAGTTGCAAAGTCTGTAATAGGTTTATTCTGACCATTAAATATGTACGTTACATCTTTAACTTGAGCAAATGGATTTGCAACGAGTAAACTTGTACCATCTGGTGCTATTTTTGTTTGTAATTTAGCATCTTCTTTTTGTTCTGGTTCATATGCAGGACAAGGTATATTTAATAATGTGGGAGGTGATTTTGTATCGTGTATTGCTAAAAGAGGAGTTAATTTCGGAAGATGAACAACGTATTTACCTGTTTGTGATATATAACACGAAGCAATTTTGTGATGTAAGGTCGCTAATGTTCTATCTACTTGCCATCCATCGTTTGTATAAACATACATTTTGCCAGGCTTTATAAACACCGGAACACCCTTCCTAGAGACAATTGAAAATGATTTTTTCGATCTCGGGACTGCTGTAGGGGCGTTCAGAGACCATGACATTATAAACGTTCATGCAAAATTTTATCTAAATCATAGGGGAAACAAGATCCAATTTTGTATATAATTAATATTTTGTCGTACAATTTGCAGTTTTCATCTAAAATTTCATCCAAAATTTTTGAAAATCTCAATAATTTCTCACAGGAATTGAGATATAGCTATAATATTAGGAAATAATAGAATTGGTACTATAAATTTATATTGTTTCTGAATAATATCTCAAAATTTATTAAATTAGATTATTGATTATCAATTGTTTCATATTACCTCAAGTAGTTATGATAAAAACCGTAATGTTTTTAATCAAACATAGTATATTTATTTGTATTTATCTTTGATCAAGGCCCAGTCCATCAATTAAACTACAAAGTTGTCTAGATTGAGAAACTGGAAGTGGAAGCGGAATAGCATCTGGGAAACTTGCTAAATCTAATAAAGTAGGATCTTCAGAATTGAAGATATTTGTGATCAAGAAGTGCGGATTTCCGTTTGGTGGAGGAATGATCCTTGGAGGTGGGAATAAAGAGGTACCAAATGACCTCTTTGGATAATTTTGGTAATGATCTGGAACATCAATTCGCAGAGCGTTAATAAATCGGTCGGCTTTGCGCTCTACTTCTTCGGTCGTAAATTGAATTTTAGTAGGAGTGTTCTTTTTATGAACTTTTAAGCATGTTTTCTTCTCCGAGCAATTTTTATTTTGTAATGCCTCTGAGCATTCTTCAGTAAGTGCATAGGATGCATTTATTTGTTCGCCTTTCAAATTAAAATTATTTAATGATAATATGCATAAATTGGCTTCGTATTGGGATTTAAATTTAACATAAACTGATGAATTTCCTTGAAGTATTTGTTTTCTGAATGGAATCTTTTCGTTTGAATAAATTGCTATCTTCTTAATAACTCCATATTGGCCTAAGTAATCCCGTCTTATTAGTAGTGAAGTTTGAAGATACCTTTGAGGAATCCCAACAATTTGTACCATTTTCTTTGATATAATAAAGCCGGATGGTTCTGGTTTCTTTTCAGGTGGAGGGCGAACAACAGGAACAGGTCTATATTGAGGACCTACCCTACTAACTGCATCTTCATCGTATGGACGACGACAAAGTGGACAGCATTTTGTAAATTCTGATATAATTCTTTCAAAACAGAAAGAACAAATTTGATATCCGCATGGGCAAGGATAGAAATCATACTCGCTTGCACTGAGATCTGAAATGCATAGCGGGCATACTTTTACTTCCCTTGAATTGTTATTATTATGCCTAGACATGAAAAATAATTTTTTGCAAAAAAAAAATAGTTCATTTTTTTCTAATCAAGTATCTATAATTGCAATCTCATCTAATAAAATAATCACATAAAATTCTGTTGTAAACAGAAATTCATCAAAAGTGACACCTCGGAAAAGCTAAAATATTGAATTTTTGGAACTTTTGATAGAGCACGTTTTTAAATATTAATTAAAGTAAATGTATATTTTGTAAAGATTCTTTTTAATAAAAAAATAAAATTTTGAAGAAGAACACAAAATTTTCTGAAAAATAATATCACATAAACTCATATTATTTTCTAATATATAACTATTTTATATAAAAATCAAATTCAATGATCTTAAAAGCGAAGGATAAACCTCAAAATTGACGAATATAATGAGTGGGAATATAATGCTTATCTATCATAAAACCATATGAAATATCAATTTTTGCTTTACGCCTAATTTTTGACGACAATTAGCAAAAAATGTTAAATGTTAACACTCAGTCCATTTGAATATGAAAAATAAAATTGACTTTGATTAAATGTTTTTATTTATCATGCAATTCTTCTTGCGACCAAAGATTTGAATAAAATTTCAAAAAATAAGATAGCTTAAAAAATAATATACGGTAGTATTTACTAATAGATGAATAGTATATAAATTCTATTAAAATGGATTTGATCCAAAAAATAATAAAACCAAAAATAATTGTTATAATTTAAATGAAGAAGTAATTTAAAACGATTTTATTTATGATCAAATTTTATATATTTTTTTGGATCAAATCCATTTTAATAGAATTTATATACTATTCATCTATTAGTAAATACTACCGTATATTATTTTTTAAGCTATCTTATTTTTTTGAAATTTTATTCAAATCTTTGGTCGCAAGAAGAATTGCATGATAAATAAAAACATTTAATCAAAGTCAATTTTATTTTTCATATTCAAATGGACTGAGTGTTAACATTTAACATTTTTTGCTAATTGTCGTCAAAAATTAGGCGTAAAGCAAAAATTGATATTTCATATGGTTTTATGATAGATAAGCATTATATTCCCACTCATTATATTCGTCAATTTTGAGGTTTATCCTTCGCTTTTAAGATCATTGAATTTGATTTTTATATAAAATAGTTATATATTAGAAAATAATATGAGTTTATGTGATATTATTTTTCAGAAGATTTCATTCTATATGCCTATGAAAAGTACTCTCAAAACTAACTTTTTCCTAATTATAATTAAATCTAGAATATTGTATTATGCTTAGTATTATTTCATTTTTCTCATTCAATTTAGAATTTACAAATGTCAAAAAATTGAGAGCTGTCACTTTTGATGAATTTCTGTTTATTACAATTCCATATGAAATTAAGCCTTTATATCACAAAATTTAAATCAAAATATTCTCATAGTACAGATTGCGATATTGTATTATTTACGATTTGTACTCTGCATTATCCAATTCATGTGTGCCATACTCTAAGATATATTTTTGATTATATAGGACTTGCATTAAGAGGGTCAATAAGTGCGCTTTAGATTATACATTAGCAGTTTAATATATATATTTGATTGGAAAACCCTAAATTTATGTATAACCCAATAGTTGGGTTTGTTTTCGGAAAAAAGTTTTAAAAGATTCTTGCTTGCTACTGAAATATATTATTTTTCATAAATATTAGAGTATTTATGTAGCGAAACATGATTAAGTTTAAATTTTGAATAAGATTTGATTTTTTGAAGAAAAAAACACATAAAAAACTTATTTTTCATGGTTTGCTTGAATTGTACACGTTCTTTATTGCATAATATTTTCTTGGGTTACAGTTCCATTCATGAAATAATAAAAAATCTAAATTATGCCTGTGCCATTAAAAGAAATTGAAATATTTATGGTTAATAACTAGTTTGATATGAAATTAAAGTGATATTAGTGGCTGTCGATCAAGAAGTGAAAACTAATTTCACAGTCTCATCACACTTTTCAATGCTCGATTTTTAAAAACTGTTTAAAAATGGAGCTTATATTGAAATAGTGTAGAGACTAAAAATTACCACAGACTATTTCAGAGGATTGAGTTGCCACTCAATCCTCTGAAAAGTCTGAGGTAATTTGCAAAATTTATTGAGATGATCGTGAAATTTTCCAAAGAATATGGCCAACATCTCACTTTTAATGCTATTATGATTATATGAGTACTTAGTTTCTAATATGTTAATTTGGCAAGGTGAGGAGTTATTTTACTTCTCAAAAGATTATCCAGTTGAAAAAAATATAATTTTGTTATGATTTAGTTATGTACTAAAACAATGGTCAGTAACGTATTCACAAAAATGAATTGAATATTCTTACTGAAACCAAATTGCCTTTCAATTTTTCTGAAGCAGTTTGGACGAGTAAGAGAGTGATTTTGGATAATATTGTCCAAATCTATACATAGTAAAACGTATTTCATTTTCGCTCACTTTCCTCTCAAATGCTTAGTTTTATATAACGGTTTTTTCACTACTGTTTACTCTGAATTTTCAAATTGAATGGGCTCTGAATTTGAAGCTGTCTGGCCGTGAATGCTGTTCATATCACTTCTATTTAGGAATGTCCCAACAACAACACTTCGAGCACGATTGCACAGCTGCTGCCCACAAGATCAACGCTCTCCATGCCGCTCAGGTTGATGAAACATCTCACCCACACGAGCACGTCCATGGTGTTGACCCACTCCACCAGGACCATAGTGAGCACATCCAGCACAAGCAGGTCGCTCACGGCCATCACACAGGTTCCGCTGCTGCTCCAGCTAAGGATGGCGCCGCCCCAGCTAAGGATGCTGCCCCAGCTCCAAAGAAGTAAGCTTTCTCTGATACAATAAAATTTGTACTATGAACCAAAACTATTTTAGATACCTGTGAAAACAAAAAAATTACAAACTCTTTTTAGAAAGGTTCAAACCTAACTAAACTATTTTATGTAATCAAACTATATGGCATAGTGTACTATTGGATATGCTGTGCTGATGTTTTTAATAGATTTTTTTCCGAAATAATGTTTTGAAAACTGTTTAATTTCTATGGACGTTGATATTTTGTTACTTTTTCCAGATCAAAAGAAGTAATTCAGTGTCAAAGATTTGTTTTCTAAGACTATATGGCCAAATATCTTGCTAAAAAAATATTATTCTTGTTCTTATTGGATTTAGAGTTATGCAAGTGGGAATTATACAACTATTCCAATCATTCGGATGTGTTCTCCCTATGAATTCATTTTATATAAAATGTGAATATTTATTGGCTGATGCCAAGCATTATGTTCCTCTTGCATTGCATCACAAGCAAATTGTAAATCTTTCCCCGATAATCCTAAAGCTTGAAATATGAAAAACAGATAATATAAATGAAATAATTCCAAAATCAATGGTTTAAGAGAAAACTTCTTTTCCTAACATCTCTTGACAACAATATTTGTTTTCGAAGATCCTTATGTATCTGTCTTTTTTCCATTTTATACCCCTTTACAACTCTCAAATCTCTTCAAAAATAAGCGTGATACGGAATTATAATTGGAAATTTCAATATAAGAGTGTTTAGGAATTTCATTCAATGAGATATATGCCTTATTATCTAAATCAATAGAATACTCTAATATCATATTAAATCTTTACATTCCATTTTTAAATTTTTTTTTTTGAAAACGCATGAGTGTTTACAAGCAAGATCTTGCCGATTTTTCGGCTGAAGAGTCTCAGCTTGTTGTTAAACTCTCAGACTTCGACTTCGGAGACGTAATTGGGAAAGGCGGCTTCGGCGAAGTCAACAGAGCAATACAAAAATCTACTGGCCGTGATGTTGCCATCAAACAAATCTTTGCCGAGCGTCTTGAGGGCAATAGACTTAGACGTTACATCGGAGAAATCAAAACAATGGCTAAATGCGATAATATGTTTTTGGTTCCTTTCGTTGGCTTTACAGCTGAACCACCATATGCTATTGTTTCTGAGTATATGCCAAATAGTGCCCTTGATAACTATATTAGACATAGAAATAATGATATGCTTTCCGGAACTCAACTTACAGCCATAGCTATTGGAATTGCCCATGGTATGATACATATACATTCGAAAAACATTATTCATAGAGACCTGAAAGCAGCAAATATTCTACTTGACTCAAAATTATTTCCCAGAATTGCTGATTTTGGTATAGCAAGATTCGAAGATTCCACTGATGCAGGAATGACTGCAAAGATTGGAACACCAAATTACATGGCTCCAGAGTTGATTACTTCAAAAGATTACACAAATAAAGTTGATGTTTACGCATACGCAATGATTCTCTACGAAATGTCAGAGAACCAGAGACCGTTCAAAGGTCTAAAGGTCAATGACATATTCCAGCAAGTTGTACAAAGAGATGAAAGGCCAAATTTCACAAGAATGACACCAGCTCCTTTACAAAAGCTAATTAAGCGCTGCTGGGACAGAGACCCCGAAATGAGGCCATCGTTCGAAGAAATTTTCGAAGAATTCAGAAGTGGTCGAGTTTATTTCCCAGATACAAGGCGTTATGATATTATTAAGTTCCTGCAAGTCATAGAGAAGGATGAAGCCAAGCGAAATCCAGGTGCTGGAATAGCCCGTCCTATTGCAAAACGTTCGGATTATTCGGATGACTCATCTAGTTATTCCTATTCTGATTCTCCACCGCCACAAAAGAAATATACAGCTCCTCAGAGATCTGCATCCTCAAATTCAAATCAGAAAGAGCCACAACATAAATATATTCAAGAAAATGAGTTGGAATCCGAACAATATTCGCAATCGACCGAATCTTCGAGCTCTGAGAGCGACCATGCAGATGAAGTTCTCCGCAATTACAGAAATCCTTTATTCTTCAGATATTTAGATTATTACGCAAAAACAATCGATCCATCGCAGTTTAGCCCATTCTACTCTCCAATAAGCACCCACATCAAATCATCTACACCAGCAAACGTAATTAATGCCGTTTTAACAGCTTGTTACAATTTAATGAAAAGGAACAGCCAATTCATACATTTATTCGCTTCTACGAAATTCTTCTTCAACCTACCAATCTCCAACGAGCCAGCGATTGATAAAATCGTTGATTGTTACTCAATGTTATTTACAGAGTATCCAAAAGCTCTTGGACAACAGCATTGCAGCCAACTAACACAGTTATTAGAAAAGAGACCCGAAAAGATGTTAATTCTACACTCATATTACGTAAAACAGCTCTTACAATTAAATAATCCGTGGCCTGTCTTAGACAACTTATTTACAGTCCAAAGATTGATGCTACAGAAAGGATATGGCTATCTGTTCCTTTCTTTGTTCTTCTATCTCATCAAAAAGTACGACATTTACGCCAAAAACAGAGCAGTCCATTTAAGAGGCGTTTTCCTTCAGTTCCTCAATGCCCATGATACAGCAACACTCAGAGCCGCGTACGATGGCCTCTCAGGACTCTACGATGATGTAAAAGGTTTAGATTTTACCAGAATTAACAACCACCTCAAAAATTCAGAGCTTGCGGACTCCGTTTTGAGTTTGTTAATTAGGGTTAAATCTATTAATCCTAACAGAGATCTTTTGGACTCACTTTTGAAAGCATCTCGAGAATCTCTGAAACCATGGATTGTTTTATTGAATATTGCTAATACTTCTACAGGTTCTGAGTTTCTCCTGCGATACAACAGTTGGATGGATGAATGCGAGCGTCATCCCGTCGAAGTCACACGTGTTTTTGTTGTAATTTTCAAGCAAAACGAATACAGAGACACATGTGTTGAAATGCCACAATTCACAAAGCTTTTGAAAGCGATGCTCGCGACAAACGACAGACACAACCACTCCGCAGTTACCTCCATTGTAAGGAGATGCCGTCAGACATCAATTTTGTTGAACAGATTGGCTGATGACGGAGTAATCAAAGCTTATGTCGACAGCACTCAAAGAACGGGAACAACAAAGGTTTACGCGAATGCTTTGGCTTTCTTCGATGCTTTGAGCAGGATCGCGTACAATCCAAGTTATCTCTTGTTCACACAGCAGTTAGTTGACTTGCTTTCGAGTAAAGAACACGCGAGTGATGCGATAACTGTGATTGTGAGTATGTCTTTCTACAAAGAATGCGCACAACAGTTCAAAGAAAGAGATCTGTTGACTTATTTCAAGAGTTTGGAGAAGATCGACAAGTATTCACATGCTGCACATGCTTTTATTAAGAATTTAGAAAAGATTTGATCTTTGTTTTTTGTATATATATTATTTTGTGTATTTGTTTAATTTTTCGTTTTTTTCATCAATTTTATTTATATATAAAGATTTTCGTATATTATATAGATCTCCTTTTCCTTCGTAAAGTCTCATATTCAAATTTTTTGATACAGATTCACTCAATATTGAGGCAGAAAAACGATATGGAGACTTTATCTAGGAAAATATGTTTAGATCTCCAGTCCATAATTGAATTCTTTGTTCATTATTTTTTTGAGGACATAAATGCTTTTAGAGTGTCCGGAAAATATACCCTTGGCGGCAAGAAAAACCCCCTTGATCAGTATAAAAGAAGCATAATTTGAATATTTCTTATCGCTTGGTGCTGATATCAATGCAAAAAAATCAATTTAAACGAAAAGCTCTTCATTGGGCAGTCTATAAAATAGTAAGGAAACAGCCGAATTTCATATTTCACATGGTATAAATATCAATGAAAAAAATAATGATGGAGAAACCGCTCTTCATTGTGCAGCAGAAAATCAAAGTCAGGATACAGCTGAGCTTCTTATTTCATATAATACAAATATCAATGAAAAAAATAATAATGGAGAAACCGCTCTTCATTGTGCATCAAAAAAGAATTATATAAAATTCGCCGAACTTCTTATTTCACATGGTGCAAATATCAATGAAAAAGTTGTTTGAATTCCATTTTGAATAATTTCTGTCTAATCCATATGATTGAGTTAACCTACATTTTTATTTTTAAAAACTCGAATTGCATCTTCAATCTTTTAAGGCATAATTCACATAAAAAACAATATTAGTTTAATTCTGCCAAATTTAAAAAAAATAACCCTTGAGTCAAGATTCCATACTAATAGGAACATATTTAAAATACCAACAGAATATATATCTATGTTACTATTGATGGAATTCCTCGTTTTCAAGTTTTGATGCTAAAATACCCAGACGAGCAACTTATATTAATATAGACGATAACTATAATTTTTAATTGCTCATAAATTGAATTCCCACAAGCTTTGCAATGGACTTTTAACTACTTTTTTTTAGGGAATTCATAGAAAAATTGTGTGTCCTTAGCGCACCTTTAATTTTTTAGAAATCGGATGAAAATAAAAATTATTTATTTTTAAATTACAATATAATTATCAGGAATATCTCCTGCGGAAACAGTCATTGACAATATATGAGAAGAGAATGTATCGAACATGTATTCCCTAACAATATCAGAGCACGCGTCGATTGAGTGAGCCCTCACGTTCATCATTCTGATGTTCAAGAATCTCTGGCTTGCCAACTGATAAGCAACTAAGACTTCGAACAATTTGTCTTTCTCAGTCTCCATTTGGCTGATTCCTGTGATCTGTGGGTTCTCGTGGAGAGCTCTCCATGAAACAGCTCTTATGAATTCGCTTGCAACAACAGGATCTTTGAATGTCAATTTGATTGATCCCAAAGGAGTGACAATCAAAACGACGCAATCTCTGTGATTCCTTATATGAACGAAGTTATAAGGCAACTCGAATGATTTCTTGTTAGTTGAGATCTTTATCATCTCGTTGTGAACAAGAATCATCAAATTGTCATTCTGCTTGAACGGAATTTCTCTTGGCATTGGAGTTTGTGTATTAAAGATTCTCAAATAGGCCTCGTTGAAATGGTTGCAGAATGATGCAGTGCTTGCGTTGGAGAGTTCTGTTGCTTCAGCCTTTGCATAGAAATATGGTTTTCCATGCGTGTCCTGATTGAAATTGATCAACTTCAAAATTGGTTTTCGCATGTTTGTGAGGAAATCTGATGCGAAATTATACTGTGCTTTGAACTTGTTGATGATCTTTTCAATCAGGTTTATGTTGTCGAGCTGAGGAATCAAGAACTGTCTGAGCACATCGATGTATCTCCAAATCAATGTAATCATCGGAAAGATGTCAAATAAAATAAAAACGGTTTTGACAACATCAAAATTAGATTTGTTTTTGGGGTCATTCATTTGAACGAAGAACTTGAAATTGGAATTGCAACTCTCGATGTATTTAACTATGTTTACATTCGTCATCATGCTGAGTGCATGGTGCAAAGAAGGACTCGAAGATGTTCCTTCTTTCACGAAATGAACGAATCTCTTTATAATTTGTTCGAAATTCGTTGCAAAAGTGATATAAGCTGGGTAAACTTCGCACTTATCCTGGTAGAAACCAATTGTTTGTTTCATCAAAGTGAAATCATCTCCGAAATGTGACAAATGCTCAGCCAATTCACCAAGCAATTGCCATCTCTTCCAGATGGAGAAGCAGATCTTCTTGCAGTTCATGTCTTGGCACTCGATGAATGCTTGTTTCTGGTAATCCCATGTCCATGCATTCAATTTCATGCGACTTGCAATTAATATGATCGCTTCAGTGTTATTTTTAGATGCTGCGTAATGAAGAAGTGTCCAACCTTTCTTTGATTGCATTGACACACTCGCGTTCTTCTCGAGAAGGAGCTTGATCATTTCGAGATCTCCCATTGCAGCTGCGTGATGAAGTGGTGACATCTGGTTGATATCAGCTGAATCAATGGAAACTCCGTCTTCAAGAAGTTTGTTGACAGCATTTTTGTCTCTCTCAATAACTGCTTGGATGAGAGGATTCTGGACACCGCAGACGTACAAAAAGTTCATGCAGTTGATGGCGCCGGATTTAACTGCGCAGTCAACGGCTGTTTCTCCATCGTTGTTCCTCAAACTTAAGTACTCTGACATCTTGGAATTGTTGCACAATGCTTTAAGTAGTTCCATGGCTTTGTTGCGGCAGGCAATGTGGATTGGAAGATCGCCATTCTTGTTTTGAATGATAGTAGGGAGACTGAAGTTCTCGTAGATGTAATTAACAAGTGGAGCCATTTTGTCGTTCTGCATAAGATGTAAAACATTGTTTCCGTCGTTGTCGACTGCACGGACATTTGCATTAGATCGTAATAAGAATTCAAGACAAGCTTCGTTGCTGACAAGAGCGGCCATGTGAATGGGATTACGACCTCTTTTGTCTGGAGTATCGGTTAAATGTCTGGCAGGAGACAATGCGTGCTGTAAATGCTGTACATTCGTAGTAAAAACGGTGATCGCGTGAAGTATCGTGATTTCCTCGAGGATGGGGATAATCTTGGAAGGTCCTTTAAGCGATTCGTAAACTGTATCGTTTATAATGGAAAATTTTGTTTTGTGTTCTTTTATGTTTTCCGGGATGCCGTATGGCGTGACTTTGCAGACGTACTCTTCTGAGCGGAAAGATTCAAGGAAATCTCGGAGTCGAATCGTATATCTGCCGTGATACATCTCAGGAGAAGCACTAATGATGCGCAAGCCTTGGGCAATTGATAGAGGAAATACTGGCATGCCAAACTTGTCGACAGTGTTAATATCGGCATTTAACTGAACTAAAGCAAAGAATGAGTCGCGTGATAAATTGAGAGTTGCGTACATGAGTGGTGTTCTACCGTAATTATCAAGATCGTTCACGCCGCCTTTTTGTCCGATCAAAATGACGATTTCAACAAGGTTGAGAGCTGCAGCAATATGGAGAGCTGTAGCACCTGAAGAATTCTTGTAGCTGATATCTGCGCCTATTTCTATTAATTTTCTAGCTGCTTTCGAAAATTTATTTTTGATTGCGCAAATTAAGAGCGAATCTCTCTTGTAATCGATCTCGTTTAGTAAGAAATCACTGATGAGGTCAATTAATATGTCCTCATTTTTAAGAGATGCTGCGAGAAAAGCTGCGCCAATAATTGCGTTTCTGTTGCTTGCAGAAAGGATAACTCTGACTGTCATACGGCTTTGGGAGACGACAGCTGCTTCCAATGGGAAGAAACCATGCGAATCTAACATATCACATTTTGCTCCAGAATTTACCAAACAATGGCAAATTTGGGCATCGCCAAGTGATGCAGCAATGTGTAATGGTGTGCATTCGAAAGGAGCAGCTGTAGAGTTTAAGAGAGCTTTCTTTGACTTCTCTGTTGATAAATAATAAGATACGCCTAATAAGTTATGTGTAGCACAGCAAGCGTGGAGAGAAGATAGAGCATTATGATCTTCAAGTAATTTTTCGAGAGCTGAAAAGCCTCGAAGCTTTGCCATATCGAGAGGAGAAGTAAAACTCCATTTTGATAGATGAAAAGTTGAGAATGAAGGATCCATTTTAGTAATGCAAGCATTAATACATGATGGGTATTCCTTAATGAAGAACTCTACTGCCTTAATTTGGTTGTTGAAGACTGCATAATGGATAGGAAGCCATCCCATGTTGGATTTTACCTTTGCAATTGTCTGATTTTTGTTAAGTCCTTGGAGCATATCCATATCGCCTATTTTGGCAGCAATATGAAGTGGAGTGACACCGTCGAGATTTTGCAATTTGTCATTGTAAAAGAATGTAAGCATATAGTCTGTAACCAAATACGAAGAAGTCATTGCTGCATAGTGTAAACCTGTGTTTCCGTAATAATCGCGCTCCATTAGAATATCTTCTTTGACATCATCTGGAAAAGATGAGAGATACTCATTCAAACGCGAATGATTATCGGTTGCACATAAATAATGGATTTCCTTCGCTCCGAGCGACTCAAAATTAAGTCGTTCTTCAAGCGAAGCCTTCATATAAAATTTTTTATGATAATTTTCATTTCGATGTAAATAAAATCTATTTTTAATATGATTATTACTATATATTTTAGTAATAATGCAACTTTTTCATATGATAATCATCCTATCTTATAAAATTAAAATTATCGAAATAAAAATTTGAATTTTTCTTCTAATTAATAATATTTTTATAATAAGCAAATTATACATATTTAAAATCATAATCGAAAATCTATGTAATGTGCTCAACTTTTCGAAAAGATCACATTGATTAGATCTTGAAAGCATAGAAAAGAAGCTTCGGATGCAAACAATGCAATATTTACATGATAAAAAAATAAAACATTATATTAAATATAAAGTCTAACATTAAAAGTAATCATCTACTGATTACTTATTAAATAATGAAGGTAGAGTCTGGTTTGTCTCAAGAGAAAGCCTCTTTGGAGGCTTCTTAGTAAGGAATATTCCTGACTGAGCAAGAACGTTCTGTGTTGGCAATGATATTAAAGATAATCTCGATGTACCAGCAGATTTTTCTCTATGTGGTTGTTTGGTCTTGATGATTGAGTCAGAGGAATCATCATTCGATATCTTGGAGTTAAATACATCTTGTTTGAAATGAGGACGCGGTGGTTCTTCAGGAAGAAGAGTCCAATCGTACACGTCATCATAAACAAAGCCAGAATTAAGGAATAGGGATCTAAATAACTGTAGATATTTCGAATAATTTGGTTCTTCTTCAAAATCTAATTTTCTCATATCTTGTAGGAATATTGAGAATTCAACAGGTAATCCTTCACATAATTCTTCTACTGATGTAGAGAGCTTGATTTGAAATGTCTCTCGTTTGCAGCCATGCCATGGTAAAAAACCTTTCAAGAAATAAATAAGGGTGTATGCAAGAGATTCCATATCATCGCGGCGCGATTGTTCAATATCAAGATGATCGTTTATTGAGCCATAACGTGTAGTTCCTGTGAAACTTCGTCCTTCACGGTATGGGATGTGAGTAAGCGTTTGTCCATTAATGTAACGTTTTGCAAGGCCAAAATCAATTATGTAGATGACATTCGAATTTGGTCCAGTACCTATGGTGAAATTTTCTGGTTTGATGTCTCTATGAATAAATGATTTTGTATGGATATATTGTACGCATTTGATCATCTGGTCTGCAAGCATTAATACTGTCTTAAGAGAGAATTTCCTGCCACATCGCTCAAACAATTTTTCAAGTGAATCACCTAAGAGTTCCATTGTAAAAGCATTCTGATTACCATAGCATGTTTCAAAATAGACCTTTGGTATTCCAACATAGCCGGCTAAACATTTTAATGCTCTATATTCATTAAAAATTTGTGATCTTTTAGTTTTTTCAGATTCTATCTTCAATGCAAGCTCCTTCTTATTAGCGGTATTGTATGCATAAAATATATTACCATAACTACCTCCGCCAATCCGCTCGCCAACTTTCATCTTTGAATTTATTTTTTAAGAGTTATCTCAAATTTTATTAATGATTGGAAAATGCTTTATATATTATAATATCAAATATGGAGATAAGCATATTCAGAAAAAATTTTCTTCTTTGAGAAATATTTGAATTCTAACCGTAAACATTAAAGTGACAAACGTAATCTCGAACTTTTCAAGAAATTTTTTTTGAAAATTGATTAATGCATCGAAATCTACATATGCTAAAATCTCTCGATAAAACTATTCAAAAGATAAAAAAATGTGCATTTTTGATGTGTATCGAAACTCAAATAAGATTTTTAATTATAAAAATTTGAGTTTACAAAGAACTCTAAAAGAAAATTTAGCCTCTCAAAAAAAATTCAAAACAATAGTTGATTTTACTCGATGTATTTTTTTCCAAATGAATATGGTATTGATGCATATATCGATGCTGCTTCTCTTGGTAATTTTTTGGAATACCGATTTCTCAAAGAGTTCAAATTCGCTTCTTATTCGAAAGATTTTTGGGATGTGTGGAACGTCGCGCAATGGAACTGATGATTTTCATACCGAAATAATATCTGAACCTAATCCAATAAATGTCAAATTAATCAAACCAAAATTTTCTTTGTGTTTTATCAAATATCTCCTGAAAATAAAACTTCCTTGATAATAAATTAAGATTTTAAAATGAGAAGAATGTAACATAATAATAAATCGATATAATAAACACGTTAATAACCTGTATTCTTCTGTAAATAAAAAAAATTAAAATAATTTCTTTTTATTCATGAGCTTATATAAAATAATAGAATTTTATCAAGCTTAATTTTAAAAATACAACAATTATTCCGAAATTTTGGATTCGTTGGCAACATGAATTCTGACAATATATCTGAATCGGTAAAAATTTCATTGCGGGGCGTATTGGCTGGGTCATAAAAGGAACTAGGCAAAATTATGGCTTTGTAGTTGGACAGCAATAATGCTCGTTAAAAAAAGCAGGCAAGCAATGTATGTAAATTTGATTTTTGAGTATAACTACAATAACGCAAGCATAAACGAAGATATTATCAAATAATTTCAAATTAATTGAATCTATCGATATTTTGGTTGGTATTTGGTTTCAAAAAGCTTTCTGCTTCTTCAGTAATTATTGTTTCTTTTCTTGCGAGCAAGAAGTAGCAGATTGTAGCGCAAAGATGAAATATTGCCTGGGCAAGAAAATAGTATCCGGATTTAACAACTGATGGCATGAGTTTATTAGCCATTGGAAGTAAGCATGGCCATTCTGAAATATTGCATTTATCGCCAAAGAACTGATATCGAAAATGAAATCCGCAACATGCAAAGTCTTTTTCAATTTGATGTAATCTATCGCTATTTAAATGGGCTTCCCATCCAAGTAAAAGTGAATTTATGATACCATTTGAATTAAGGAGCATTGAGAAAGTATAATATAGTTCGAAACACATCAACCCAGCCGAAATATTCATTAGAATTAATGAAATGATAATGTTATTTGATAATGTTAAGTAAGCTGTAGGGAAAATTAAGAAAAATGTTAATGAAATAGAATTAATTGTAAAATCTTGCATACTACTATCTAAATAGTTAAACCCACTTGGTTCTGCCCACTTTCTGTTGTATCCTATGTGAAAGAATCCAATAATTGTTGATAGAAACAAAATCATAAAAACAAATAAAAAAGCAGCATTCATCATTATGAAGAGATTTATAGAAAAAAACTATACAAAATGGAGTGATGGAGCAAAACTATATTCAAATATACAAAATCTATTGAGAATTCAAAAAATAAAAAATAAAAAACTAAATTTTAGATAAATCTATTTACATATCTCTATATAAAAGTTTTGTAACAATTTTCTATGCTAAACTAATCCAAATATGGCTATTAATTTCGATAGGTTCAATTAGTGTTATATTATGAATAAAAACGCATCAAATTTATCTGTAATAGGAATGAAATGATGATTGCCGGACGACTGTGCTAAATTTATCTCAATCTATTTTGATTTTTCCTCTTCTTCATCATCCAGATCTGTGGAATCATAAACCTGTATCAAATCATCTAATTCTAGGAGCTTTATTGCGAGTTTTTTCATAAATTGCTCTTCGTTGTAATTTGGTTTATTCTTTTTCACAAATTCGATGCATTTTTCAGCTGAAAACTTACTCATACGATTATTAATTGATCTGAAATAACTGTCGATAAGTTGATCATAAGTGTACCTAACACTCATAATTACTTAATAAAATAAATGAATCGGCTATTAAGTTTTGTAAACCAATGATACAAACCTTAGTGAAAGTCATACATATTCTCTGTTCATCAAATTGCTCAAACCAAGTTTTTCGTCAAAAGCTGTACGTTAGTAGTGAAAGAAAGGGTGTAAAAGGATAGCAGAATCATTATATTATTAAATTTTTTGCAATTAATTGAAGCTTTCCTAGCTCAACAGGATAGAGCTTTGGACTTTTAATCCAAGGGTTTGGGGTTCGAGTCCCCAGGATAGCGTTTTTATATTATTTTTTTTTTCTAATATGAAGATTTTTTGCAATTGTTTCAAATATATTTATTAATGCTTATAATCCAATGATAATCGATTCACGAGCTTATCTTAAACCTGAATTATTCCAAGATTACATGAGATACAGGTTCTATAATATTGACTATTCTTCAAAAGTCAAAGGAAATCTTCCGCCTTATATAACAGCTTATCCAAACTTATCTGTTATTGATAAATACTATAAGAATAACACGGTCGCGTATCCTCACATTCCACCTTCTTTTTATATTTTTGATAATTGTTATGCTTATCCAGATAAAAATCCTTTAGAGAAGCATTACGAATATGTGGATGGAAATTACACTTTTAGTGAAGTGTACATTAATAACTATATTAATGCTACAGAAGAAGACTTTGCTGATTTTAAGAATGGTGATTACTCTATTAAGAAGGGTTCAAGATTGAACAAGCTTGGTATGGATCCAGTTGATATGCATGAAATGGGCTTGGAAAATAAAAAATTGAAGAAGGGTGTTGTTGTGGGTGTTATTGTAGCAATAATTGGACTCTTGGTTATTGGTGTGATAATTGTGCTAATCTATCTTAAAATTAAGAAAGACAAAGACGCTGAAAGATCAACAGCCGAGAAACAAATTGTAGTATAAGCCTACAGATAAAATAAAACTCTGTATGAATTTTTCGATAAAAGGTCATTTTGCAGTTATTTCGACAAATCTTTCACTCTCATATTGTATATTCCTTGACCACCTATAGTTGCATAAGCGGTTATTGCGTGGGATAGCTTAATGATACCCGATATTTAGCCGCCAACTCCATCACGGCTTCTTATGTTGACACATTTGGTGTTCCCATTGTATTCTTCAACAAGAGATTCACTTATTCAATTTCCCTTGTTATCAATGAAAGAGGATATCTTACCCTGATCAACACCGCCATAGGCACCATATAGCTGGAATTTATAGATTCCTTGATGCAATCCAATAATGTAATCGGTACAATCAATATTGGTTGGGCATAGATAATCGAATATATATGTCTTTGTGAACTTATTTTGAACTAACATTCGTATGATATGAAACTTCATCTAATAAATTATATGATAATATTTAGATTTGGTAGTACATTTGAAACATTTAAATAAAAAATGAATTTTTAAATAGAAAAATATAATAAGTGTAAGGATGTCAATTTGGAAGAAAAGTGAGAAAATTCCTAAAATGCTAAAAATGAATTTTCCAAACGTACTTTTTTATCTCATTTTTTTGATTTTGAAAAAAATTTGGAGAGAAGAACTCTTCGTTTTTGAATTTTGTCACGATGGTTTTAAAGTATATTAGACACATGTATTGATATTACTATTTTTGTATATTTTGAGAGAAAATCCCTAAAAAGTGAGAAAATCTGAGACGGTTTGAGAAAATATATAAACTATTGAAAATTTGAATTAAACTTCTAATTTGGAAAAAAAGAATTTGGAAAGAAGAAAATTCAAAAATCGAGATTTAGACTCAGTATCAAATGGAGAACAAAATGTTTCTTCATATGAAGGAAAAAATTTTCTTGAGAAGAAATAGAGTTTTGAAAATTTTATTGTATGTAATGAAATAAACAAATATTAAAATTATTTTTTGATAACAAGAAAATTCCCAACAGAAAATATTTGAGACAAAGAAAAAAAGAAAATTGAAAAATATTACTCTCCTTTACATTTCATGATATTTTCAATTTATTTTCATAAAATTGACAATTTTATACGTTTAGAAGTAGTATATGTGGGAGGGTTGTGTGACTTTTTTTGTAAACGTAAGAATTCATACAATATTGAACGATTTTGTATCATTTTTTTTAACATATGAAGTAAAAAATGTATGATTCTTACGGTTTTTATTCTTACGTTTTTGAATAAATTAAGATTTAAAAAATTTTCAAAATTGTAAGACATTTACACTCAGCCCATACATAACGAGAAAAAGAAATTGAAACTAATGATTATTTGAATTTATGAAATCAATTATTTGATTCATTCTTTCTTCAATCTCTTCTATTCTTTTTGTTAAATCATCAATTTTCATTAATGAGGTGATTCTTGATTGAGGAATAGATTTCAAACTAATCACCCCTTTTATTTTTGAAATTTTGAATCCATCAACTTTAAACATTTTATTCAATTTACATGTTGTCAATTCTTCAAATAATTTTTTATTATTGGCATAATAGTCATTAAATTCTTCAACAGATGAAAAAATTTTTATTTCAGTAATTGGTTTAACAACGTTTATTTTTTGTTGAACATTTTCACTTTCATTTATTTCTTCCTCCTCTGTTTCATTTATTTTTAAAATTGGTTTCATTTATCATTAAATAAAAATTAGAATATAAGTGATGAAATATATTTTTTAATTAATATTAAATCAGAAATGGCGGCAGGATTCTTTAAAAAATTATGGGAAGGAATTAAGAAAGCTGCGGGTTGGGTTTATAAAAAGGTTATTAAACCTGTTGCAAACTTTTTGGCACCAGTAGCGAAAACGGCAGGAACTATCATAGGTGGAGTATTAGGTACAAAAGCAGGTAATCCGGCGATGGGAGCACAAGCAGGTAACGCAGTTGGTGGAATTGCTGAAGGAATACTTAATAAAATAGGAGGTAGATAGTGGAAAAATAAATTATTTTTATCTTAGTATCGGTTGAAGTCTTTGATAAACTTTTTCTCCTTTATTTAATATTTCTCTTATTGGGGCAGCTTTTGGTGTTATTGATTCAGCAACGTCACTAATTGCTTCTTTATTCTTAAATATCCAATTGCTCCTTTCTTCATTGTTTCCCAAACTTTATGCGCTCCTCTTTTTACTTTATCCCACAGTTTCTTAAATATACCTGCAGCCATAGTTGATTATTTCATTAAAATTAAAAATTCATTTTCATCTTTTAATTTTGATTTTTTATTTATTAATAAATGACGACTAACTATTTGGTGCCAAACACTAAACCGATTAATGGAAATGTGTTTCATTCATTCGAAAAGATAAATGAAATATTCGCAAAGAATGACGGTAGAAGATATTATAGAGAACTTGAAAGTTCATGCTATGACTCTGATACTCCATATTTTGATGATAAACAAACTCATTTAAGAATTACAAATCCGGCTCATGATGTGAACCAATTAGGTGACACATATATTAAACGCAAAGTTAAAGCAACTCTAGTTTCAAATAAAGCTTTCACATGTGATGCCACTTTTAAATGCATGCGTTTATTCGTTGGTTACAAATCATCGAATCAAAGCTTTAAACAATTAGAAGTAGAAACTGAAAGAGGTGATGCCGGTTATCTTCAAATGGATTGCGCCCGTGAATCTTTCGCATTTGCAACATATAAACCAAAATCAGAAAGGAAAGTTAAAAAGTTTGTTCATTCGTTATATAATAATGTTCAAAAATATGATAACTCAGTATGTGGTAAATATATTGACCCTTCAGAAGTTTTCAAGAACGCAAATGAAGAAGTTGATATCACTTTTGATATGATTATTCCGGTAAATGATTTGTTAGCATTTCAGGCGTTCGATGATTATCCTAAATCATTTGGTGAAATCATTCTTAAATATTATGTTTTCAGGGATACTTTAGTATTTTGTCAGGTTGACCCGTTAAGAGTTGCTGATTTACAAAATTACGTTTATGAAAAGATAACTGATGAAAATTATGAAAAGATTATGAATCATGTTTATAAATATGATCGCAAATTCCAACAAATCGGACTTCCTGCCAAATTAATTACAAGCTTAGCCGCCACATCTGCTGACGCAACAGTTGATAACGTTATTATTTCATGCACAAAGATGGAAGTTTTAGAGGATAAATGCATTACACCAGGATACGGTTTAATTGAAGAATCAGTTAAAGCAATACCACGTTTATTCAGTAAGGAAGATCCATTCATGATTCCAGCTCAACATATTGACGTTCGTTCACTAAATGGAGGATGCATCACTCCTGAAGGTATTAGCTCAGATTTCTCATACGCTCTTCATAATGTTACAGATGTTGTGTTAACATTTCCGAAGAATGCAATGCAAAGAACGGTTTTAGAAAATCCAATGCTTCGAGGTCTTCAGGTCACTATAGATTCCAGAAACTTCCCCGATCAAGCGATGACCACAGTGGGTGACATATTCTTTACACGTATGCTTCAAGCTTCTGATTTAGATGGAGTGAATGAATGCACGGAAGAATACGAGGACTCATTAACTAGACCACTGAATGATGATAATGGCACGCCATTAGCTAGAACATGGAAAGACCAAACTTCATTCTTATGCACTATTCCAGTTCAACGTGATGGAGCGGGTATATTCTTTGATGGATTAGAAACTTTCAACTCACAAGTTACAGTACAAGTGAAAGCTTATCCAATCATTCAGGGTGAAAATGACACTTACTGTTCAAAGGTGACAAATCCTCCTCAGGTTTGGTTTACTAGGACTACATATTGGACATGGACACCGGACGAAGGTTTGAAATATCATCCAACAGGTACACCACCACAGTATAGAAGTTCATATGATGAAATATTGATGAATAGAAATGTTTAAAATTATAAATTTATTTTTGATTAAATGGATTTCAATTCTGAAGAATTAACAGATGTATATAATACCTACATAGATGATATGATTAATGAAGCATTGAGTGATAATAGAAATGCTCTATCTAAGGAAAAATTAATGAAAATTCCATATTCTGAATGTTACTTAAATTCAATCACTGCAGCAATTGGTAAACAAAATAAAGGTAAAACATTAACGATATTAAAACAAATTATCATTATTGCTAACACTTCACCCCATTCACATGTGTTAATTTATATCAACCGTTCAGGTTCACCTTCAGATGATACATTTGAATCTTTAAAGCATTTAATCAAAATTCCAATTATTTATTTATCACAAGAAGAAGCAGAAGATTATTTAAAAAACTTTTAATGTATAAAGAATTATATAATACAATCAAGAAGCAAGGATTAGAGGATAAAATTATTAATAAACAAAGGGATGAATTATTTGAAACACTTTCTATTTCAAATTTTGATAGAGAATTTTTGCATTCACTCATTTTTCTAGATGATGCAGTGAAATCAGAACTAATAACAAATGAGAAATCATATTTTAATCAGTTATTAACTCAATGTCGACACATTCAGTGTTCATTCTTTATGGCTGTTCAATATTTCAAAGCATTAAGCACAAACATTAAATCAAACCTGTCCACCCTTTTCATTTTCAGTGGGTTTAGTCGTCAACAGTTGAACGTTATGCTTTATCAAGTGAATTTACCAATGAGCATTAATGAACTTTACACACAATATCAGCAATTAGGTGAACATGGAAAAATAATAGTTGATTTAAATAAAGGAAGTGTTAAATTTGATTAACTTTTTATAATTAATTTTTATTTTTTATTTATAATTAAACATGACAGAAATAGCAAATCTTCTACAGGTTCCATTAAAACAAGGGACAAACAAAAACGGTGGATATAATAGAACTATGAAAGTTCCAGATGGAATGAAAGAATTAGTCCACATTGTTGCTGGTCTTCAAAAGGATGTTAAACAAATGAGAAACGTTTTAACATTACCAGAAGCTCAAGCATATGCCAAACGTCATGGACCAAATTGGGAAGCACATGAAGCAGACATTACAGGACCAAATGGAAAGCCTGATGGTATAAATGAAGTTTTCGTTACTGATGGTCAAGGTAATATTAAAGTCATAAATGGGTATAAATTAACAATGACGGATTATCCTAAACGTAAAGCATATAATGAACGTTATCCTATGCAATTTGATGAAAATGGAAAAGCTGTTAAACAATACATTGGAGAAGGTGAAAATGGTCCAATTAATTCATACCGTTATAATCCATATTCTTATTTCAATGAAGAATTAAATGCTGTTGAAGAGGGACCGGATGGATTACCACGATATGTTAATCAGTTTGATGGTCAATATGCAAATATTAGACCTGAAATTCCAGCTAAGAAATTCTTTAAAGTTGCTTTATTCGATCCAGTGTTCAATGAACAAAAAGAAGCAATGAAAGCAGAATTTAAACCAATTCAAGTGGCAAGAATTTCTTCATCTTCACTTTCAGAAGCGTTCAAGGAATTGATAAAGAAACCACTTTATTCTCAACAAGGTTATAACTTTGATTTAATTAAAGAAAGTGATAGACGTAAATTAGAAAAATCAGATGGTTTTAAGAATGCATGTAATGAAATGATTAAAGATATTGTAAATGATAAAATAAGACTGGAAGAAACTCAAAGCAATATCAATAACATAATTGGTGCAGTTACAAAGAAAGTATAAGCAAACAATGATGAACCTTGGGATATTACCGTAACAACTAAATAAAACTTTAAATATATTTTTCTTTTTTTTATTCAATTATAAATGAGAAGACGTTTCACAAGTCAAAAGAACACAAACGCAAAAGCAGAGATTACGGTTGGTTATAACGTAAATGATGATAAATCACGAATTATTCAAAATGTTAAAGTTAATGTTAGCCCTGAATTAACAAGGTCAGCAACTCAACCAAATTTATTAACTCGTGACTTACCGAAGAATGAGGAGAATGGAGACCCAATCATTTTATCTGAACCCGGTAAAGAACCTGTTGAAATTCCCACTTATCCAACATACCCCCGCCTCTTTCATCAAACATCGAGAACCCAGGAATCTACGATTCCAGTCGCAATGCGCCATATAAAATAGACATTAATTCAGAATTAATGAAAATTTACCGTGATATAATAATTAATAATTATGATTCAATAATAAATTTAATTGACCAATCCGGTTTAATTATTTTACCTTATGAATCATTAATTCACATTATCGCCATTCTTTGTGATGTTCAAGATTCAGACGTTAAGATTCAATTTTTCATAGATGATGAGGTTTCATGCTGCGGAACAGTTGCAAAAATAAATCCTATAAAGGATATTAGCACAATTAAGATATCAAAGAACGGAACAACAACTGAACTTCATTTAACATATAATGATATTTATAATAAAATAGTTGATGAATATAAAATATCACTTGAAAAATTCTTTGTTAAGGCCATTTAATATTCAAGCATTAACATTATTGAATAATAATCCTTTGAATCATAATCAATAATAATTGACCTTTCACCAGTTTCTATCGTTTGTTTTATTTCTTTTTGTTCCCCACTATCTGGATCGGTCATTGTAATTGTTTTTGTTATAGTATCAGCTTTATCTTTAACTTCAATCTTTTTTCCATCAGGATATTTAAACCAAAATTCCAAAAATTCGATATTGTCAATCTGTTCATATTTTAATCTATCAATTACATTTTTAATACCATCTGAAAATCTTATGAAATGGTCATTATATGGGTTTGATTGAACTAAATTTGAATGAAGTGAAATATAACCTGTTGATGAATATGACATGACTCATATTTTCTGAAAACACTAAAATTTATAACATGAATGAATTTCTTATTCGTTGAATTTATGAATTCTTGAGGTAATCTTATCCTAGTTTTATTTATCACTGGAAAATAACGCTTTACCATATTTTTAATCGTAATAAAAATGTCAATTATCAATATTATTTCGAATAATAACTGTGAATTAAATTTAACAGTTAGCGGAATTTATAATGTTACTCTCGTTTCTGTGAGTGGTAAATTTAATCCCATTCTTTTAGACCCTTCAGATTATATATCATTTATTAAAGATGACCATGAAAAAACGTATGATATGTATATAAATAATGTGATAGCGAAATGGGATATTAACATGATTTTAAGTTATTTAAATGAATCATTTATCGTATGGTATGAAGAAAATTTTAAATCAAAACCTGATAAACTTTTTGAACTTGATGAAATAAATAACCTTATTAAATTCCGCTGAAAATTAAATTTTGTACTCCTCATCTTCGTTCATTGTTGGGGATATTAAATTTTGAAAAAGATGTTGGGGATGTTTTGTATTCTGACACTGGTTCCAATTTCATTTTAATCAAATGTGATAAAGTTAATACCCCAATGAGATTTTCACATCAAACATTAGACCCTAACTCTTACCCATCAATACAAAACATTTTATCCATCAACTTAAACATATTTTCTTTATCATATCCGTTTCAATTATCCGGGAATTCATTTATTCTTCATTCAAAAGATTTATCAAATATTAAATTTAGAGTAACTGACCTATTTGATTGTGATTTAGAATTCATGAATGAAATATTATGGCAATTTCAAATAGAAAAAATAGCTGATGAGATAACAGATTAAATATTTATTTTTAAATCATAATAAATGATTAAACAACAGCAACCACAACAACTTAAGGCACAAAGCACCCAGGTCCCTCAGACCATTACATACGCCATATATGCATATAATTCAAAGACGGCAGAACAAACGCAAAGGTTGAAATATGGAGATTTGGAGATAGTATTGAAAAATGACCATTTCGAATTCGTTTGCAAAGGTGGTGCAGTGATATCAAATATAAAAGAAATTTTATTTATGAATTCAAAAATTAAAGGAATAACGGATGATATAACATCAATTCCACCAGAAGAACAGAGATATTACGCATTAAATGCATTTCCTAAAGTTTTGAAGATTGGAAGATTTAATTTAAATGAGGAATTCATAAAAGGTTTCCTAAATGACATAATGGAGAAAGCAGATAAGGAATGTGTTGCTGCTGCGTTAGAGAAGAAAGCGGATAAGGAATATGTTAACGAAAAAGATAATGAAATTAAAGAAATGGTTGAATGGTATCATGAATGGACATCAAAGATTTTAAAAACTAAAGCCGATACAGGATGGGTTTCAGGATGTTTAGACCTTAAAGCGGATAAAACATATGTTAACGATGAGTTAGGGAAGAAGGCAGATAAGGAATGTGTTGCTGCTGCGTTAGAGAAGAAAGCAGATAAGGAATGTGTTGCTGCTGCGTTAGAGAAGAAGGTGGATAAAACATATGTTAACGAAATATACCAAAGTTTGATAGGAACAACGAAAAATATTGAAACTATTGTTGGCGACTTTTCTATCTATGAAGAAAACAAATATTTTAGATGGGAGTTTGTACACTCCTTAAAAAATGGTATACGGTATAAACTCATTCCGAAAAATAACAATGAAATGTATGTAGGCTATATAAAGAATAATGGTACACAAGTTAAAGTTCCATTAGACAACAACTGTTACTTAAACTTATATGGAGACGAACAAAAGAAATATTTAAGAGTTTATGAAATGGCAGATATGACATTGCCTGACCCAGCTCCAGCACCATATTATTATGACTATGGAGATGATGTCAGAACACCACATGTAGATGAACAAAAGCTAACATTATATTTAGATTATTATAGATATAAAAGATATAATGCAATAGAAAAAACGAGAATAGTATATTATTATACAGATGACAGAAATAAATATTATAGTCAAGATTTTACCTACCCTGAAAACATAAGATTATATTATAAAAAATATTCTGACACAAACCAGAAGAAACCAGAAATAGTTGCACTATATTTTAAGTTCAAAAGAGACAATCCTATAATATCGCATATGTTTAATTTAATGAACCCAGTAGGTTCTATTTATACATCAATGGATGCAAGAGGTCCTCAAGTAATGTTTGGTGTTGGTGCATGGGAACAAATAGTTGACAGGTTTTTGTATTGTGCAAACTCTTCAAAGCAAACAGGAGGTTCGAAGAAAATTACTGAAGCAAACCTTCCACCGCACACTCATACAGGAACTACAAACTTTTCTGGTGACCATAGTCACTCATTAAGAGACCATCCATTATACAACTCAGAATATTATGCTGGCAATGACGTTTTATCTCCAGATTATAACCATTCAGCAAAAAAGACTTTTCGACCAACTGAACCAGGAGGAAATCATTCACATACTTTCACAACAAATCCAACAGGCTTGGGTAAAGATTATATGCCACCATTTATGACTGTATTCGCATGGTACCGCATTTATTGAATGAACTAAATATATTTTATGTTTGTAATTAATTAGGTAATGAAGTAATGAATGAACTGCAGAAATATATTTTATCGTCAATGGTTTTGGGTTATTCAATAATTGTTTATTGAGTTTTGGATGAAAGAATACGGTCGAGCCAAAAGTGGCTCAACCTCAAAACGAGCATTTTATGAGCTTATTAATGGTGTTATGAATGAATTCAGTCCAAAAATAATTAATTTCATTAGTTTTAAAATTATTTTTATTTTTTATTTTGTATGTAAAGACAATAATGTCAGTCGAAGCAAAAACATTCACGAACAAATCTAATGGTGAAACATTCACAAAAGGCACTTATAACGGTATTGAAGTCTTACGTAGAGACAAGGATGGTTACATTAATGCAACAAAGATGTGTCAGCAGTTTAGGAAAGACTTTAGAAAGCTGTTGGAAAATAAGTCCTGGGAAGAGTATTATAAGGCATTTTGTGAAGAATATAGCAACCGCCGGAATTCAGACGGTTGTTTTTTATACAAAATTCATGCGGGAATTTCTGATGAAATCAAACAGGTTAGAGGAACGTATGTAGACCCAAGACTTATAAACTATATAACAATGTGGGCTTCTCCAAAATATTGCATAGCAGTTGGAAAAATTATGGACTCCATAGACAAGAAAGTTCATGAGAAATTAGATGAAGAAGAACTCGAAGATACAGTAGAGAATGCTAAACATTTGTTTGAAGAAGAAGTTGGAAAAATGTGTGAAAAACAATTAGAACATGAACGTGAGAAATGTTATGGTTATAGAGATTCTTCATACGAACTAGACCAATGGGAACAAGAAGATTTAAAGAGAGAATTTAGAGAATATGAACTCGCTAAGATAGCATTAGAAACTGCAGAAAAGAAGTTAAAAGTTTGGGGTCGTTTTGTACAAAAATATTGTGAGTAAATGAACCATTTATTTTTGTCATAAACGACCAAAAATATATTTTATCGTTAATGTTTATGTTAATGTTTTCAGGTTATTCAATAATTAATTATTTTTGAAGAACTGAAGGGGTCACCAGGTCACCAGGTCACCAGGTCATTTCACTTCTCTGAAAAAATGAGACAACATGACATTTAGACAACACAGCAGGGGAAGGCAGTTATGAATTATTTTTGAAGAACTGAAGGGGTCACCAGGTCACCAGGTCACCAGGTCATTTCACTTCTCTGAAAAAATGAGACAACATGACATTTAGACAACACAGCAGGGGAAGGCAGTTATGAATTATTTTTGAAGAACTGAAGGGGTCACCAGGTCACCAGGTCACCAGGTCATTTCACTTCTCTGAAAAAATGAGACAACATGACATTTAGACAACACAGCAGGGGAAGGCAGTTATGAATTATTTTTGAAGAACTGAAGGGGTCACCAGGTCACCAGGTCACCAGGTCATTTCACTTCTCTGAAAAAATGAGACAACATGACATTTAGACAACACAGCAGGGGAAGGCAGTTATGAATTATTTTTGAAGAACTGAAGGGGTCACCAGGTCACCAGGTCATTTCACTTCTCTGAAAAAATGAGACAACATGACATTTAGACAACAGTCCTGGAAATTTGATGCAGCCCAAAAATAAAGTTAGTTTTAAAATTATTTTTATTTTTTTATTCCTATATAAATGACAGCAACAAACAACAACAACAACAGCAACAACTTTATCGTTTCTGATGAAAAAGTTATTGATTCATTAGTTGAGGAATTAGTTGTGGCAGAAACTAAAACCCTCAACGAAAGAATTGGTGAAAACATGATTGATTTACATAACTACCTCAAACATGATGGAGGAAGAGGAAGGAAAACTGGTATGGCTTTATTAGTAAATAAAATTTCAAATTTAACGATTATAGATGTTGATATCAATAAATCATACGATGATGAACTTAAAGAAACAGTTAGAAAAGACATTTTATCAAAACTTTCGGATAAAGATGTTATCGTTAAAACCGCATCAGGAGGTCTTCACATTTATTGCAACACTAATTTCTTCTATGCAGTTTCGAACAGAATGATTAAATGTTATTCCTGCAATGATTATGATATTGACATAATGACTTCTATTGATGATTCAAAACGTTCTTTAGTAGTTATGGCTGATTCAAGAGTTCGCAAGAATGCAACAGAACCAATCAATACATACTCATTCATTCGTGGAAGTTACGATTCAACATTAACCAGAACAGTGAATGATATATTAAATGATTTGAATATTAAGGTAAGAGTTGAACAGAAGAATGAAGAAATAAAGACCATCATGAATGAAAACAAAGATGTAAACATTGACGATAAACTTGCTCAGAGCATAGTTGATGGCATCAGTGATTTTGAAGTACATAATGATGGTGGAAACATGAATTTAGAAAAAGAAATAACATTATTCACACTGTTTCAAGCTATTAATTCGTTACCTAATCATTTAATTAATGAAGCATACGATAACGTTTATAACTTCTGCAATTTAACTGAAAATGCAAAAAGTAATTTTGAAAAAGCACGTAGTAGATATGCACATTTAATGACTTCTCCATTTGTTTTAGTGAAGATTCTAAAACTTTATCAAAAGGAATATTATGATGAATATGTTTTGCCTTTATTACGTAAGCCAAAAATAACATTTGATATAAAACTTGATGACTCGTTTTTGATAACAGATATTAGACGCAAGGCTGAAAATCATCAGTATAAAAACAGTTCTGAAGTAATTGAGGATTTATCACGTGTAATCCGTTTTGTAGATTGTGGAAACAAATACTTCATTCAAAAGGACTATAATATCCACGACAAAATGAATCAAATATCATTCGTTCTTCAATCAAACATGAAAGAGTCACTCAAAATGATTAAATTATTTAAAGAAGAAGGTAAAACCATAACAGCATGGGATGTACTACTAAATCAATTGTCTTCATTAACCGTTAAGGGTGTTTGCTTTAAATCTGATTCCCCAGATGTTTTCTCAACGTTTCAGGGTTATAAATACAACATTCTCGAAAAAGTAGATTACTCAAAAATTGAGATGTTTATGGATTTCATTAAAGAAGCCATTTGTGATAATAACGATGAAGTGTATAAATACCTTCTCGGCTGGATTGCATCAATGATTCAACATCCTGGAATCAAGAATGAAACAGCAATTATTTTGAAAGGACTTCAGGGAACAGGTAAAAACAGATTTACAGACATTATTTCTGAACTTCTCGCTGGTTATTCATGTAAAAACATTACCGAAATAGGTGAGCTAACGGGTAATTTCAATTCGGTTGTTGAAAATAAAATGTTTCTTGTACTTAATGAACTCAAGAATGTTGGTGAAGACAGACTCGCAAACTTCAACGCTTTGAAATCAATTATTACGGATAATGAGATTAGAATTAATGAAAAGAATCAACCCAGAAGAACAGCACAGAACGTTGCAAACTTCATTTTCGTAACTAACAACGTCTACCCTGTCAAAATTGAAGTTGGAGACAGAAGATACGCAGTTTTAAGAGTTAATGGTAAATTCAAGGGTCAATTTGATTACTTCAAGAATTTGATGAATTCATGCACTAAGGAATTTTATGATAATTTTACTGACGTATTTTATGCAATATGACCTTTCATCATTTAATGTACGAATCATACCGATGACTGAAGCCAAACAAGATTTAATTGAATTATCAACAAATCCTTTAGATGTATGGATAAATACACATTATGATGAATTATGTGCAGGTATGACGTGTAAAAATGCTCTATTCTGCAAACCATCAGACATGAAAGACAAAAACTTTCAAATGAGCATTAAGGATAAATGTGAAAGGAAACAAAGAAAAATAGATGGTAAACAAACATGGTATTATGTTTTGAAAGAAGAAATGAAAGGATTATATAAACAAATTGAACCAAACGATAATGAGGAATCATTTACTGACGATGAAATACCTGTGAATGAAGCTTTATAAAGTATGATTTGAATTTATTTTTGCATTAATCCTGTGATGTTGTCAAAATGTCATGTTGTCTCATTTTTTCAGAGAAGTTAAATTACCTGGTGACCTGGTGACCTGGTGACCCCTTCAGTTCTTCAAAAATAATTAATTATTGAATAACCCATGATGTTGTCAAAATGTCATGTTGTCTCATTTTTTCAGAGAAGTTAAATTACCTGGTGACCTGGTGACCTGGTGACCCCTTCAGTTCTTCAAAAATAATTAATTATTGAATAACCCATGATGTTGTCAAAATGTCATGTTGTCTCATTTTTTCAGAGAAGTTAAATTACCTGGTGACCTGGTGACCTGGTGACCCCTTCAGTTCTTCAAAAATAATTAATTATTGAATAACCCATGATGTTGTCAAAATGTCATGTTGTCTCATTTTTTCAGAGAAGTTAAATTACCTGGTGACCTGGTGACCTGGTGACCCCTTCAGTTCTTCAAAAATAATTAATTATTGAATAACCCATGATGTTGTCAAAATGTCATGTTGTATCATTTTTTCAGAGAAGTTAAATTACCTGGTGACCTGGTGACCTGGTGACTCCTTCAGTTCTTCAAAAATAATTAATTATTGAATAACCCATGATGTTGTCTAAATGTCATGTTGTATCATTTTTTCAGAGAAGTTAAATGACCTGGTGACCTGGTGACCCCTTCAGTTCTTCAAAAATAATTAATTATTGAATAACCCATGATGTTGTCAAAATGTCATGTTGTCACAAACTTTAGAACGGCATAATTTAAATTTTTATTTTTATCATAAATGAATACCCCACAAGCTCAAAATTTACCACGAATCATAACAAGGGAGGAAATGATAAAAATGATGCAAGAACATGTTAAAAATAACAAACCACTAAAATTGAGAAAATGTGGTTATGCAGTAATGATGGAAAGAGAGATGTTGTCGAAGAGGAATAAAAATTAAATTTGGATAGAGTTTAAAAATTCATCTTTATTAAATTCATCTCTTCCAATCAATTTATTTATTCTATTAAATTCTTTTATTTTTGCTTCACTCAGTTTAATGATTGAACGATAAGTTTCTAATTTTTCGATTATTTCTTCATCGTTTTCAACCCCACCGCATTGTGGCTTCTTTTTGTAATAGCATATTTTTGATTTAATTCTGTTTAGTTTCTTTTTATATTCATCGTCTGGACTCTTGGCTGCTTCATTGTCACTCATTTCTTACGAAATAAAAAAAATTAAATATTATTTAAATATAATGGAGTAATAAAATAAATCGGAATTTCTATTAATTTATTGTCAACTTCAACTAATGCATTGCCGTTAATATATCTAACAAATTCAGCTATTGTGTCAAATCTTCGTCTTCTTTTTGTCATTGATTTATCAGTTTTTCCATAATCGAGATGAATTAAAACTTTATTTCCTTGTTTAAAATTCATGAGCCCCGAATTAATTTGTTCACGTTTAACATCATTTAACTTTTCCATTTGCTTTCTAATATATTCCCATTCTTTTGAAATATCATTTTTCATTTCCACTGGTTTCATGTTTATAGTTCTATGCCATGTATTATTGTAATAATATACTAACTTGTATGATGGAGTCATGATTTCCATCCCAGTATATCTGACCGTTAACCCCTAACGCATCTCTAAGAGTTCTCATTACCGCATCAACTATTTTATTATGAAACGTATATGGAGAGGATGAAAAGTAAAAATTAATTTGTGGGAAATAATGAGTCATAGCTGCCTGAAATCCTTTATCACCATCACCCCTGATATTATCTACTCTTTCATGATCTAGTAAGTATTGAATAGCTCTTCTTGTTTCCTGTTCTGTTTTCCCTTTCACTGGAATGCAATATAAATATCTAGTGTTAATGTTAATGGCAAATAAATAAGTAACGTTTCCTTTTGAATATTCCAGATGATCGATTTCGTATGAATATGGATATGGAGCAAATGAAGGGCGACTAAATTTTTCCTTTAACGGTTGAATTTTGGGTCAATTGGTTTATTTAATATCTTGAAATCCTTTTTAAAATCTTTTTGCTTCTTAAATGTTTGAAATGGATATAATAAAGTGAATGATGAAGGATTAACTGAAGGAGGAGGCGGTACTGTCGTTGGAGGTTTTGGTGTTGCAGGTGGTTTAATTTTATCTGCTTTGATTTTGGATTTCATTCCCCCCTTCATTAATTCTGGATGTATTCTATTCATTTGTTTTAAATATGCTGTATATAAAGGTTTGATATACTTTCCTGCTTCGAGTTTATGTTGAAGGATGAATTCCAAAAGTTGATCTTCATTTAAAAGTCGGGCTGAATATGGTTTAACTAATGAATCATAAATTAAAGCTTGTGCTTCATTTATGGTCTGAAGAACCTGGGCGTTTTGTTCCTTTGGTTTTTGTTCCTTTGGTTTTTGTGGCTCAGGATTATATAATTTATATAATTCATCAATATCTTCTTCTGTTAATACTTTATTTTTGAAATCTTTCAACTGTTTAAGCTGTGATTTAGTTTTTCCCTTTGAATATTCATTATTTTTAATTTTGTCTTTAATTTCAGAAATTATTTTATTATGATATTTCAAAATTTCATTTTTATAATATGGATAATAATATTCCATATCATCACCCGTTATATTGTTATCATATTTTTGGAGATATGCTTTTAAATCATAATAATCAAGAAAATTTTGATTAAATATTAAATCAGCAATTAAAATTTTTAAATGTACGTTATCCATTTATATAAAAATAAAATCAATGTTTTAAGGGTGCCCACCTCTTTGTCTCTTCTGTGGCATTTCATTAAATAAATGGCATACAACATCCATTTTCACAACATACAGCCTTAGTGTGTGCTCCTGTTAATGCAGTCTTACCGATTGTTAAGCGAGTCATTGACCCATTTTTAAGTTGTAAATTAATATTTTGACCATCAAATATCAATTTATCATTTATTATATCCAAATAATTTTTAGGTGTTAATTGTTTATTTTGTCGTAAACTAACTCCTTTCATTTTTTGTGCAATCTTTTTAAAATCACTTCCATCAATTGAACCATTGAATGATGTATAACACTTAGGACATAAAGCAACCATGTTATCACCTTGTTTCTCAATTGCTAAACCCAATAACTTCTTCTCATGTGCTTTTTCTTCAGCTTTATTCTTTAATTTAGGTTTAAATTTCT